CTCGAGGCTCGAGCAACATCACGGACAACACCAGCGCTTGCCCGAGGAAGGACCAAGGCCAACTTCACAACATCACAACACTATGACAAGGGGTATAAGGGAAGGCATCTCAAAGCAAAGAGCTTCTATAACACCTCCGCCTTTACCTTTCGTGCAGGGGAAGGAGGGTGGTGCTAAGACTCTGTCCGTGGGATAAGGCCAGACCTTGGGCAGCCAGGAAGGTAAAGCTGGACAACATTGCGGTCACCAAAAGGGTGCAGCAACCAGCACTGACCTTCACGGCGGCAAACAGGCTGCTGTGAAGGTGCTGAAGAAGGTCAATGTCTCCTAGATGTCCTCCCAAACTGCCGCCTTCCCTGTGAATTCTCCTGGTGAGCTGCCGGTTTGCCTGCTCCGCCTTCCCCGGCCTCCTGCCTCCGCTTTGACCCCTTTGGCGGCCCACAAACCACTTTCTGGCGGAAAATTTCAGCTCCAACGCCTCCGTGCCTCCTACACTACCACCACCACCGCCCCGCAAAGCCGCTTCTTCTCCTGCACCACATCACAAACTACCATAACGCAATGAACGCTCTACACATACTCATGCAAGCTTTCCAGTTACGCAGCTTTAGCCCGCGAGGCCCTTATAAGTATACACCACCTCCCCCGAAGACATCCAAGTTGGTATGAGCGACCTCGACCACTACATCAGAGGTTCGAGTCGAAGATGGCACGATGACAATGCGCTCGGGTGACTACGCACATATTGTTTATACTCGAGGCCATCGCTTACCTAGACCCTGCCAGCCACATCATGCAATGCTACGCTATTTCGATCATTATTATCACAACAAGTCCTTCTCGGACCACCGACATACAGCCACCTTCTCAAAGCCGGCTCATTGGTATGGGGAGGGGTCAGTTAGTACACGAATGTCGAAGATCAATTAGTCCACGTTACCCTCCTGCTCTCGGGCAGCGATGGGTAGCTGGACGGCCAATCTGAAAAAGTCGCTTAGACTGAGACTCTTGTCTTCGCAATACAGATACGGGTTGGACATCACTATGTAGAAGAATGACATGTGGTTGCTTCATTGGATCGTCTTTATGGAGTTGATGTACAATGTCTCCTCATGCAAGGAAAAGACTGAACACTCTAGGGCCTACGTTGACGTTGGGTCACCTCCTTCGCACGTTTCTATGCTGATGTAGGCCGCAGGCCTGTTCAGGTTTTCTTTGCCTGAGGTGATCTGTGAATATGCTTGCTGAGGTTTGATGTTACTAATCCACCCCACCTTGGGCGAAGTCTGCGCGCATGGATCTCGCGTTGGTAAAACAATGCGACTGCACGACGGCTCGAAGAAGGTTTCTGAAAAACGTCAACATTGCGAAAGGGCCGAGTCGCCAACAAAACGCGTCCGCTACGTTTCACGATATCAGGCAAGACTACAAAGCGCGTAATCTGCAACAGCATTTTCCTTGCAAGACCTTTCAATACAAAAAGATAGCATACAAGTCACAATCCATGACTGGCTTGCCGGCAATGCTCGTGCGAGGACGATTTGCAAACATGGTCCAACCGCGTCACACAACAGTTCGCACGGAGCGCAACGATGGCGATCACGTCGTCGATCCGGGGAGCAAGTATCCGCAGATCCAAACCTCTTCCACGTGCAAAACCAACGTCAAACCTCATGTCGTCAAGACAAACTTTGCATGTCGGCGACGGTCCAGAAGCCACAGCGCATGTCATAGCACGAGCTGTTACGTAGAAGACTGCAGTAGCCCCCTCGGAGAAAAGAATTAGGGTGACGGTGCGGTCATGCGAGCGAAGCGCTTGGGGGCGTCAGCAGTGGCTGATAGCGCTGATGAACATCCCTGTGCCGACTTGCATCATCGTTGTTGTTGCGCAGCAACCAGGAGAACAGCCGCGTAACAACGTAGAATCATATATAGTATTCGAGCAATGCACGCGCGAACGACCGGCTTTATCGCAAACAAACACCACGCAGCAATTCCAATTCCATCTTCCGTCGAAGATCCGCACGTCGTGATCGGCGCTACCAACAAGGCAAGTACCGATAGTTCCGGAGGTGGAAGCGACGATTGGACCCTCATACGTCACTGCTGGTCGCCCAGGGTCCTATGACGCTGCCACAAAGACCCGCTTCCTCCCGCCAGCCGCCGACTGCTATAATTCTCCAGCCCCAGCCCAGCCTTTCTGCAGCAGATCGCCTTCATCTACAGCAGCCACCCGATTCATTTCATCTCCACCGCAAACCTAACGCTTTGCTAGAAACGACGAACTTGAGTTCGTTTGCATCTATTCAACACCCAACCACCACATTTTCCATATACACATCAGCAAAATGGTGTCGAGAGCTGTTTCCATGGGCCTTCGCGCCTGGCAGGTATGTTTATGGCCTTGAGTCATCGAAGAACCTCATTAACATCGTATAGTTGATCTGCGCCATCCTCGTCACCGCATTCATGGGCAACAATATCGCCCGCGCATGGAACGGAACACACTCCATCATCAATTACTCACTCTTCGTCGGTGTATGGTGGTTGTTCACATTGCTATACTTCCTACCTACATCCTTCATCGAGAAGTTCAGCATCCCCATCGTGGACATCGCCATGGATGGACTGAGCGTCCTCTTCGGTTTCTGCGCCGCCGTCGCGCTTCCCGCGTACATTGGCGCACACAGCTGCTCGAACACCGTAAGTTATCTGTGATCTCTCCGCTAAGCGCATAATCTAACATACATCAGGGATACACCCGCTCCAACAAGGTCCTCAACAGCTCCGCAGACACCGAGCAGAACTGCCGTCAAGCCCAGGCCACCACCGCTTTCCTCTGGTTCGGATGGGCCGCTTTCGTCGCTACACTCGCCGTCAACATCATGAACGGACGCGGCAGCGGCGCCAACCTGCGCGGTGGTATCCGTCGCGGTGGTCCCTCCATGAGCCAGGTTTAGAATACCTACAAGTCTTACTCCGATGCTTCATGGAATACTCGATCGGATGTCAGCGACGTCTGAGCCTGCTCGCATCAAGTCGTGCAGCGCTATCTGGAACATGCATGATATGAAGGAGGATAATACATCGTGCTTGATGCCGATGCTGGTTGGATCAAGGGGAAGTTTTTTAGGATACCAGTACACGTGTACGACCGTTATGCGGCGTTTGCATTGATCTTTAGCGATTGTAATAATACTATAGTTAATGATATGGAATTACGATACCCAAAAATATCCCAATGACCGGCATTCTTTCTTTGGAAGAGTTTGTTCATCATGACGTCATCTCCTGGGTTTTGGTCCGCGATGTCCATCTCAGCATTGCAGGCCCCCCACGCCAACCTAGGAGAAAACTGAATACCCTGGAGTCTACGTTGACGTTATATCACCTACTTTGCAAGATTATCGCTTAACGTAGCCTACAGACCTGTTTAGTTTTTTTCTTGCATAAGGTGCCCTTGTCATCACTCGCTTCCCATGCGCGTCTTACAGCCGACCTAGCCGTCAGACAGGAGTTGGCTTGCGTCGATCTCCACAGCAGTTTGCGATATCCTGTTGAGTGGGTACCGATGAGACTGTACCAAATTCGACAACATCGACTCAGCCAACACTAAGACACTTGATACGATCCTGACACGAATTGTAAAATGTATCGAACCCATCACTTCATACATCCGTCCAGCTTCATCCACCAAGTAAACCCTCCTACCAAACCACCAACACGTCCTTCTCATCCACCGCAAACCCACATAGACCCCTAGCCCTGATTGCCAACAAGATTTCCTCAACCTCCAGTACATCACCACCCCATCTCCTCCCCCCTCTCTCCCTTCCCAACCCCCTTTCTCCGTCCAGCAAGCGCATCTCTCTTCCAAACCTGACTCTTCGGCCACACGACAGCGCTCGTAGGCTTCACTTTACCAGCTGCCTGGACGCGCTCAAACGACGGCGACGTCTGCATCGTTGGTTTTGAACCCCGGCTGAGCGTTGGTGTTGTGGGTATGTCCGGGGGTGGTGTGTGGGTTTCATCCGAGGGGATGGATGAGATGGATAGCTTCACGGCGGAGAAAAGGATGTAGGCTGTGACGCAGAGGAAGATCATTGCGCGATAGAAGTGTGGGAGACCGAGTATTTTGGGGAGGAAGATGGCGAGAGCGAGGATGGAGGTGGTGCGTAGGAGGTAGGTTCTGTGTTGATGGAATAGGATGTAGATAGAGATGTAGATGTTGTCGACGTTCATTTCGTGGCTTTGTGGGTTGGGATTACTTGGTATTACCTCGCGTACAGATACTGATTATGTCGCAGAGGCGTGATCGTTGTATGGAAATCAAGACGAAGGTTAGCGTGGTACAGTTGACGAAAGGAGGGAGGGGCTTCTGTGCATTCACTGATGAGATGCGGTGGTGCCTGAGTGTCAGGAGAGGCTAGAAGTTACTAGACGGTATAAGAAACATTCGGTGCTCTGATTCGAGCCATTGAGGTGTAAATCGGGTAGAAAGGATTTGATGGTTCAGATCTAGAGATTTGCGAGAGCTTGCAATGATAGCTTCTGCGGAACGGGTCGGCCTCGATTATACTGTAGTTTTCCGTCACTGGTGTAAAACATCCCTCGCGAGAACTGCTGAGTTCGCAAATACTCGCTATTGATATAAGGAGTGATATCTATCACAACTTCCTATAGTATTGTTATGTGTGTAAATAGAATGGACGCTGTATCACACGCCACACATCTTCAAACATCGAACACACAACATATACAATCATAAAGTTTGTAGCTCAAGCAACGTTCAAGCATACTTCTAATAGATATACATATTGAAGGAAGTATACCTCAAGAAAGAACGACGCCAAAACGCCCGATGGACCATCCATAAGTTCAATCCCATCGCCGTAGAAGCCGAGAGACCATCGCCTCATGCCCACAACGCCGAATCACCAGGGTATAAAACACCCACCCACATGCACTCAACGACAGACGCCCCTCAACGAGCAAGCAATCTACTCGCTATCATCGTCGTCATCGAAGCTAGGTTCAGAAGCCTCATCCGACTCCGCCTCATCATCACTAACCACGTACTTCGCCGGCTTAGCAGCAGCCCTGCGACCAGGTCTCGCAGCAGGTGCGCGCTTGGCTGGTTTGGGAGTTGGCTCATCCTCGTCCTCATCGGACAGGATATCGTTGGCAATAGCGTCCGCATCCTCCATCTCCTCGTCCTCGTCAGAGTCGATGGTGATCTGCTTCTTCGCCTTGGCTGCAGGCTTCGCAGCTTCCGCGTCTTTGCCGTGCTTCTTCGCGTAAGCCTTTGCTGCGGGGCTCTGGGCAGCGGGCTTCTTCGCAACGGCCTTGGGTTTGGGTGCAGGCTTGGCGGCTGCGGCTTTGGGCTTCGCGGCGGGTTTGGTAAGGCGGCTGGCGACGGGCTTCTTGACGCCGAGATCGAAGTCGTCCTCGTCAGAGCTCATGATCGTGTCGTGGATGTTGCGAGGGGGAGGGCGTTGGGGCGAAGACTGGGGCATCAGACCTTCGTAGTTTGTGGTGTCGCCGTCGATCTCGATGGGCTCGATGGGGCTGTTCTTCTTTACGGGTGCTGCTGGGCGCGCAGTTGTAGTGGCTTTGAACATGGGAACGCCGTTCGTACCGGATCCGATGGTCTTGACCATGCTGCTAACATCGCCGAGGAGGTCATCGTCATCATCGTCGTCGGAGTCGCTGCCCATGGTGTACTTGGGGGCCTGTTTCTTTGCGCTGCGAGCAGTACGTGCAGCAGTGGTCTTGGAGGGCTCCTTTGCCGCCTCTTGGGCGACTGCAGCGAATACGTCCGAGTCTTCATCGTCCGAAAGCGGGTCCTTCTTGATAGGTTTTGCAGCAGCTGGGCGACCCCGTTTGGTTGCAGCTGGCGCTGGTGCAGAGTCTGCGGAAGCTGATCTACCATCTTCTCCGCCTTCGGTCTGAGGCGTCTCCTCCTTCTTCTTGACAAGATGGGTGAGCAAGGTACCCTGCTTCTGCGGCGCGGTTGAGCCGAACGCGGTGCTGCTCTTGAGAGCTTCTGCTGCACTAGGCTTCTTGACTGGTTCCTGCTGCAGATAGCTAAGCAGCCCCTCCTTCTTCGGCTTTGCCTTCTTCTTAACCGGGCCAAAGTCGGATCCGGAGTCGTCCGAGTCGCTTCCATCTGCCTTTCTCTTCTTCTTTCCCTTGCCCTTGCCGCCACCGATACCAAGTTTTGCGGAAGGTCGGCGAGTGATGGCAGCGATCTTCTTCTTGCGCTTGACCTCTTCGTCCAGCTGGACATTCCATTCATCCATGAAGGCTTCAAGGTCGACAGTCCAAATGTCCTTTGGTGATAGCTTGATGAGAGTGTCGATCTCATGTTGCTTCTCGCCGATCTGCTTCAGAAGCTTCTCGACACGCTCTTGGGTCAAAGACCAGATAGCCATCTAGATTACGTTAGTTTTGGTATTGAGGAAAGGGTTGGTAGCACTTACACCTAGCAGATAGTCGTAATCGTTGGCGGACACTTCCGTCTCAACATCTTCTGAGTCATCCTCCTGTACGTCCTCGACCTCACCAGCAGCCTTAGCATCCTCGACCTTGGGGAAGGGAGTGAAGCCAAGCTTCTTGAGCTCTTGAACAAGCACAGTCTTCTTCTTCTTTGACACGATGAGCTTGCCGTCGATGATCATTTGGATAAACCTGGCCTGGTTCGTCATCTTCAAGTGCTCCTTCTCCATGACCTGAAGTTGATGCTGCTTTCGCTTCTCATAGTATCGCAGACGGACGTGGTAGAACTCCTCGATGATATCGAGAACGCTTGCATACTTGTGGATGCGACCGTGTGCGTCGAAAGCGACCAAGTTGCTAGTAGACTGAGGCTTGAAGAGCTTAAACATCTCTTCCAGACCCTTGGCAAGAGCTGTGGCCATGTACTTGTCTTCCATCTTGATGATGAAGTGGACGCGATCGGGCGTGTTGTAGTCGATGTAGTCCTTGATGTATGAAGGGCCCTTCTCAGCCTTGATGATCTCCTCAAGCTTTTCCTTGAAGTCTTGTGTCCAGTAACGAACTGGTAGCTCAGTGATCTCAACCTCGTTGTCACCAGTTTGTCGAACAACTCCAGTGAACTGGTATCGATCGGGACCGAGCACTGTGGTTGTACCATTGAAGCCCTTGTACCATGGAATCATTGGAAGCATGTCTTCCTTGGTGGCGCCTGGCTGCATGCGACGCTTGATGTTGTCGATAATATCCATCGGGTTGAAGTTGGGGATTTCGGAGCTCCAACCAGTACCGATACCGCTCGAACCGTTGATGAGAATCGTGGGTAGGATCGGAACAAACATCTCAGGCTCGATCTTGTGGCCATCTGATTCACCGTATTTCAGTAGTGCGTCATCGTGGCCGTGGAAGATTCGTCGTGCAAATGGAGAAAGGCGTGTGTAAATGTACCTGGCGCTGGCAGCATCGGCACCGCCCTTGAGACGAGAACCGAAGTTACCACTGGGCTCCAGGTAGTTGATGTTGTTGGTACCGACAAAGTTCTGGGCGAGGTTGACAATGGTTCCCTGCATAGAGGCTTCACCGTGAGCGTAGTCAGTGGATCCAGAAACTGAACCAGCAAGCTCAACGACCTTGACATCCTTCTTGATGTTTCGCCTGAAACATGTGTACAAGACCTTGCGCTGACCGGGCTTCAGACCATCAATAACCGAGGGAATTGATCGCACGTTATCGGCCATGGAGAAGAGGATCAACTCCTTGTTCACAAAGTCGTCGTACGAGATGTCGGGAGTGGTAAGGTCAAGATGCTGACCGGGGACAAAGTCGCGCAACCAGTCCTTACGAGCATCCGCCTTCTTCTTAGAGAAAGCAAGCTCGATGAGTTTCTCTTCTTCCTCACGCATGACCTGGAAGCGCTTCATGTGGGTATCGAGATCCTTGAAGTAGATCTGGGCATCGGGAATGTCACTGGTACCCAATCCCTTGTAGTACTTGTGATCCCATCCCTTCTCGTGTTGGTGCTGCTCCTTCCATTCCTCGTACTCAGGCATGGAGAAGAAGCTCTTCATACCGCGCGGGTTCTTGGGGTCGCCCTTCCAGACCTTGACGATGGGCGTGATGAACTCCAAGAGGAAGCCGGGGATCTTGAGCAAGCTCGGGAACTGACACTGGAGGAAGTTGATGAGTAGACCCTTGATATGGCTACCGTCGTGATCCTGATCCGTCATGATCATAAGATGACCGTAACGCAAGCTCTTCATGTCGGCGACCGTATATTCCTTTTTATGTTGAAGTCCCATAAACTTCTTGATGTTTTGGATTTCGGCGTTCTTCATGATCTGGTCGACGGTTGCGTCTCGGACGTTGAGGAGCTTACCACGAAGCGGGAAGACACCAAACAGATCCTGGTTGACTACGGCACGACCAGCCAAAGCAAGTACACTGGCTGATTCACCCTCAGTGAGGATGAGCGTGCAGAGATGTCCGTCCTTGGTTCCTGCCTTGTTGGCATCCGTGAGCTTTGCGTTGCTGATACGGTTGCGCTTGTTGCCGTCGGTCTTCTTCATCATCTGGTCGGCCTTTTGCTGCGCAAAGTGCATGATGTTCTGGATGACCTCCGTCTTGGCGATGGCGTTCAGGAACTTGTCACTGAGGACCGGCTTGCTACCGAACTGGCTGGCCTTGGTCGTGAGCTGCTCCTTGGTCTGCGATGTGAAGGCCGGGTTCACGATGGAACAGTTGACGAACAGGAAGAGATGGTTCTTGATCTGTGCAGGCTTCAGCTTGACAGCTGCCTTGTTCTTCTTGTTGACAATCGCCATGAGCTTGTCGATGATCTGGTCGGCGATGTGGTTAACATGGGTACCACCAGACGTAGTCGCAATCGAGTTGACGAAAGAGACCTGGTTGAAGGAACCATCAGACACGGCGAAACCAATGTCCCAGCGGTCAAGCTTGTCTGTGATGATGACGTCCTTCTCCTTGTCGTCCTCGCTCTTGCCCTGGTCGCGCGAAATCGACTTGGTATACATCTCCATGTACTTCGCGAATGACGAGATCTTGATGCGGTCGCCGTTCAGGTAGACCTTCATGCCCCGTAGCGTACCAGCCATGTCGTAAGTCCTGCGCTTGATGATGGCCTCGAAATCGTCGTCGATACCAGCCATTCCGAAGCGAGCATAGTCGGCCTTCCAGCTGACCTTGGTGTAGTCGTCCCCCTTGATGTCGGTAATCTTGGCCTTGCCCATCTTGCTCATGTTCTCAGTCCAGGTCTGCTTGTACTTCTTCTTTTGTTTCGAATCGACCGTCTCGACTGTGAATTCGGTACTGAAGACGTTACAAAGCTTGGCTCCGTAACCGTTGCGACCACCGGTGACTTTCTGCTGGTTGTCGTCGTAGTTGGAGGAGGTGAGGAGGTGACCAAAGATCATCTCTGGTACATATATGCCGTGTTCCTAGTCAGGTCAGTAGTGTATTTGGCTGGTGCTTAAAAGCGACTAACTTTGTGAATCTCAATTGGGATTCCCTTGCCGTCGTTCTTAATGGAGATCTCGCCAGACTCGCGGTCAACCGTGACCCTGATCTCGCTCATGTTCTTGTCGTTCTGCTTGTTGTCGGCCGCGTTAACGAGGATCTCGTCGAAGATCTTGTAGAGACCGGGGACGTAGGAGACGTCGCGGAACTCCATCGACTCGCTCTCCGAGTTGTACACCCACATCTTGTCCGTCTGGCGCTCTACGGATCCGATGTATGTGTCGGGGCGCTTCATGATGTGCTCCAAATGCGTCAACTGTATTTGTGTTAGCCATTGCCTCCCTATCTAGACCTGCGCACTCACCATCTGGTACTTGCTGCTGGCGCCGCCCTTCTTGGGGGCCGAGATTGGTACATCGTCGGCATCTCCGCCGAAGCTCTCGTTCGCGATGTCTGCAAGAGGCTTGCCGCTGGACTTCTTCGGGGCTGCTGCCTTCTTGGCTTTCGGTGGTGTGTCGTCTAGAAGTGACTCGTCGTCGTTGACAGGGTCCGCGTCCATGTCCATGTCAGAGTTCTCATCGTCTGAGACGGCCTTCGCCTTCTTCTTGGGGGCAGCCTTTGCCTTGGGCTTCGCAGCCGCGCCGGCGGGCCGTCCTCTAGGTTTCGCAGGACCTGCTGCTTTCTTCGTTGCTGCTGCCTTGGGCTTTGCGGCGGCCTTGGTAGCCTTTGCGGGCTTCGCGGGCGGCGCAAAGTCGGAGCTGGCACCCTCGTCGAATACGGAGTCGTCCATTATGGAGTCGTCCGCCATGGCTGTGATCGTGTCCCGCAGGACGAAAGGGCGAAATTAAAGACGATGAACGCTCTATCTTGTGTAGAGTAGGCGATAAGAGCGATAAGAAGCAGCGAGTGTCGACGAAAGGAAGGCGTGGTGGTGAGAAAGCAAAAAGTGGAGGCGTGTTTTGTTCAAGGAGGGTCTGTGTTTACGCGTTGGCGTTGCCAAAGCGAGACGCTGCAGGGGACACACGCTAGCTGTCACGCTAGTGCGGGGCTTCCATCACCCTCATTGGGTAAGGAGCGATGACAGTGAGCGCGTCAAACGTCTCAAACTGCGGGGAGTGGTGATGGAGGAAAATAGTGGTGAGGTGACTGGAGAAGAGGAAAAGAGAGAGTAGACGTGGAGATGTCGCCTTGGCGTGCGGTAGTCGCCAAAGGCAAGCGCAACGACTGGTGGGAGACCAGACTGCAGCTTGCTCAGGTAAGTCCAATATGCTGACTTGACTATATCGTCTGTCTTCTTGGAGTCGAAGAGCCTTGCCTTGAGGAATTGTGTTAAGTGGCCGTGGGGGCGAGGTTATGATATACAGGCTGGATGGTAGTAACGTGATGTTTCTACTACCTATGTACTCCCCGGGTCCGCGTCTGCAGTCTTTACCTTCAGTATCAAGCAGCAATAATTGTGAAGTTTGAGCAGCTCGGGGTCATATGTGAAAGCGGAAAACTCGTGGGTTCTCACTTGCGTTCGCTCGGCGGTACACACGAGATTATTTACGATGGATTTTCTCTGTGGTAATTAGGACATCAAAGCGGGTGCGCAGGTACACACACGATGACTTAAAAGATAATAGCAGTGAGTGGTTTGCGTGGCGAGCGCAAGTACACGTGGATCGTGTTTTGGTTCTACTCATACATCCACGTCTCGTCACTTTGCCCATGCTCCGTTGTCTGCGCTTTGGCGAACAAGCATCTCACAATCTGCCCCTCTTCAAACACAGGTACAACATCTTTCTCTACAACCTTCATCGCCCACATAATCATCCTCGCGCCGAGATTCTCTGTACGCCCCTTAATGAAAACAGGTGCTGTGCTATCTGCGGGTTGGTTGACGAACGTCATGCCCAAGTCGTCTAGTATATCCGACGGTGCGGCGTTTGCATCTGCAGAAGGGAGATGCCCAAAGTCGCCGAGGTTTTCGTCGACGAAGGTGTATGTGTCAACGTCTTCAATTCCGTCTTCGAGTGTGGGAAGGGTGTGTTTGGAGCACAAGTCTCGCAGTAGAGCAAAGATCTTGATGTCGTTTGTGTCTTGTGTGGTCAACATCAACGACAACAGGACGGTCAATAACACCGTCCATCCCAGACCTTCGTTTTGCTGACCTTGAATACCATGTTTGTTGAGAGCGGTTGAGAAGGTCTTTGCTGGTTCTGGAAGGTCGGTGCTGAAGGCTGACAGCACATCAGAGAGACTGTGCAAGGCGCGAACGGGAAGTTCAGCGTTGGGTGCGCGGAACTTGGTAATCGCATCTTTGAGCTCTTGCCGCACTGAATGAATAATTCTGGCCTGACTGTCGCGATAAATCTTCGCATACTTTTGCTTGTCGTTCTGGGGTTCCTGATCTATCTGCAGTGGAAGGGTACTGCACCTCTGCTCCAGCGCTTGGTGCATAAGTACTAAGACCTGAAGCGTAATTCTCGGGCCTGGTCTTGCGATGTCGATAGTGCTTACATCCACTTCAGAAGTTATGATCGTCTGGATAAAGAAGAAGTGAACAATGTAAGGCGGAATACCACGGAAGAAGGGTACGTGGTTATCGTAGCGACCAAACGGATGGTCCTTGGCGCGTAGGAAATGCTGCTCCTTGTTCGGATCGGTGGCCAGAAAATCTTTTGACATGCCAAAAGGTACGTTCTCGGGGTTTAGCAAACCCAGCTGCTGTGCATACTGCTGGAGTTGCGGCTGGAACGCGAGCTTCAAAGCAAACTGCTCAATAGGATTATCTTCTAGGCAGAAACCATAGCCGAGGAGTAGCTCATCGTTCTGCTTAGGTGCGTAGTTATTGAAGAGTTCTTGGCCGGGCTGAAACGACTCGCCTTCAAGGCACTTGAGCGTGAACGACTGGTGAGGCTGGAAGTCCCATTCTACTTTGGCGGATACAGAGTGATTCAGGATATCGACCACCGGAAAGAGGATAGGTATGGTCTCTCTTTCCGGTAATATGTGGGTCGAGATGAAGGCTCGCGAGGTGAAGATGGTGGCTGCCCATAGTAACGAATCGCTGAGGATCGTTAGCAGGCTGCGCCAGAAAGCTGATGTATCGGTGTATCGAGAGCCACATATGTGGAGATCTGTGTTGTTGGCACACAAAAGCACAACTCGCTTGCAGTGTCTCAGTTGTGGCAGAGGTAGTGCTGACTTTATAGTGCACGCTAGACACAATGTAGATTGCGCTGGATCGCACTCGCTAAAAGACTTACAGGTCGATCTCGTCAGCAAGAGGCATACCAAGCTCTTTCATGACAGCCACAGCATTTTCCCATTGGTGTTGCAACTCAGCCTTTCTTTCCTTGGTCGCAGGCGCTAGGCTGGTACCGGTCAAAAAGGCGATATCGCTCTCGTCAAACCACAGAGGCGTAGTCATACTTTCAGGCCCTGGTAGGCATGTGATGTAGGCGTGCCATGGCGACTGATCGCCCCTCTTGCGCTGTTCAATCAACAGCAGGTACGTCAGAATGTGATCCGGTATCTTTCCACGACACTGTTGAAGAGCACTCTCGACGTGCAACACCTCTTTCTCCTCTGGGTCTAAGTTGAGAGAGGACAGCGTCAGCTTCAATGGACATGAAGCCACCACAGTGGAGCTCAATGGTCTGGCAGCGCGCATGTGAAAGCCATGCGAGTCACTGTAGACGATCTGGACGTCTGGACTGAGCTGACCCCCATGTTGCGTAAACCAATTGACAAGGCTCTCAGCTGATGCATGGGCACTGAAGCCCTGGCCTGACATTTCGTCCGTTGACATTTGCACTTGTTGCAAAAGATCACGACCCTCGCTGACACAACTTTCCTATCGTTGCGGCCGTGAGAATCGGGGGTTCTTGACAAATGGGCGAATAGTAATACTTTTCGTACGCAATGCTTTCCTGTTTCGATAGGTTAGATATCTCGGAAGTTCGGTTGAGCCGAGTGCGTGACGGTAATGTACCCTCCAGCTGACGAGTCGGTCTCGGTGAAAATTTAGCAGCGGGATGCGGAGCACAACGGAACCGACGATCAGAAGCGAGCGGGCTTGCAGAAAGATCGTGAGTTGTAGCGGGTCGTGCAGCAAGAGGTGCAGCACGGCGTAATGGTGTGCTGCTTTGTCGGTGAGGTAACGGCTAATTCGAAACCCTCCTCGCGACGTTTATGGTACCTAGAGTTGCGTAAGCCTCAGGCGCTGCGGGGTGCCTTGTTCCATTGTTGTAGCGAACATCACAACAGCAACGCCTGATTTTGACAAGCTTCGCGTCAGCTGCGATCTGCTTTTGCCATGATGCTTCAATCTGAATCCCGTGGTCAATGTCTCCTGTGTGGCTTGGCTGACAGCGTTGTTCGCTTGAAACATCGCAAGGCTAGCCAATCGAAGCTCCGCGCGGTGTATACGAATACGCCGTGCATTGACTGCCCAGAGTTCCTTATGAAGGTTCCATGGTCGCCGTGCCGCATGATCAATCTTAAGATCGTGAGATAATCAGGTATTCGGACCCCTGCGGAACGTGTCTTCTGCGCTCGCTCAAAGGTCCGCACCGAACCGAAGTGAGACCTCGCCGTCAGCGGTCTCTTTGCTGGCGATGAGCACACCGTAAGCCGCCCCCCAGCTTTTGTCCGCCGAAGCCGAGTAATCGCTCCCCGATGAAGCAAAAAGAGGGGCTCGTAGCGAGTGTGCATGATATGCACGATGGGCCAATCGTTCTAGCCCCTTGCCGGATGCGGCTTTGCTGGCGTCCCTGCGCCCACGGGACGGACGACGGTTGACTTTACCGGCGTTGGAGCCTGTGTGCCTTGTGCGTCGACGATGCGGATGGTGAGTAGAGCCCTGCCCGGCCGATGAATGACCTGACGGGGGGCCCATCAGGGCGGCTTCTTTTTTGTTTCCATTTCGATTTCTGCAATTGCATCTGCGCCGCGTCCTGAGACACTCAGCCGTACAAGCTCAAATTATAGGGAGCGATTGATTGGCCAGCCCACTCCCTGCATAAGGTCAGCCTGCTAGCTGTGGCTTGTAAGTCAGCCCCAGTTGTTCGTCGCCTGTGGGTGTGCCTATTACGCTTGAGGGGGCACGACCTCCAAACTTCAGCGCACAGCCCTTGGGGCCCGCCTTCATAAGAACAATGGCGTCCCATGCGCTGATTGCGCCTGTGTTTTCGTCATTTCCTTGTTTGCTGACGGGTCTCTCAGCATGTCACACCTGGATTGAGTGCTGGAGCAATGCTGCTGGACATGTTGACCGCCGACGCCGCCAAACACGGCCATGAGAGCTCACCACCGCGTGCAGCCTCGCCCGCCACCAATGGCTCTTTCCTGCAGATGCCGCTTTCCCTTCTCGGTTCCGTCTTGCGCGGCCAGACTCCTTCACCGTCGCAGGCGACCCTTCCTTCTACCCATACCGATCCTACGACCGATGTCCCTGACACTCCTACGCGCGCCTCGCAGAGGGATGCGATGAAGAAGCCGCATGACGAAGCCACCATCACCCTCGCTCCTTCAAGACCTGTCTCCTCCGGCAGCGATGCTACCAGCGTCAAGCCCAAGAAGCGGACCCCTCGTTCCAAGACCTCCTACATCATCGCCCGACCCGTAAACACTCGCTCCAAGCTACACAGCCGGCAAAGAGTTGCCCTGCAGCTGCACCAAGTCATTGCGTCACAGCGACCAAAGCCAGCTTATGAAGTCGTCCCTTTCTCCGCCATTCCCCAGCGAGCCTCGAGACGTCTTTCGAGGAGCTTCAACACTAGGGAAAGACTGGGACCGCACGATCTCCTCATTGCGCAAGCAGAAGCATACAACAGTCAGGATGACGAGAACAAGTCGGAAGAAGATCGCTGGGGCTCGCGCGACATAATTGGCGTCATCAGCTCACGGAAGTGCGACAGGGGGGTTACTGAGACAACGGAGATTTGCATGAACGACGGAACGAGTCGCTGGGCAGTCACCGACATGCCTAACGGAGGCTACGAGTTCAATAGCACTGACGAACATGGACTGACGCTGAAGGCTCGTTGGGTGTTGAAGCCAAACCACTCGCGTCGTGTGTCGAGCATGTCGACGACTGCGCCGCTGTCGCCATCGCTTCCTCAAGCTCCAGACGACAAGAAGTTTACCTTCAGCACCTTGAGTGTCAACTCCAGGCGCCATCCCATCATTGCGACAATGACCCGCAGTCGCATAGATGTCATGGATACATATGCAATGCCGTCTGCTGCCTCGCCGTCAACGCCTAGCATAACTTCCTACACCCAGTCTCCTACTACCGACACCTCCAGCATCGACATGAACACCTTCATGGACACATTGACGGATAAGCTCCCCACCGAGACAGGCGACGCACTCCGACAATTCATCTTGGCTTCTGGTGTCTGGGTTGCGTCTAGAGAATTCACGACAGAGAGCCCCTCCTTGGCTTCGCCTCCAACTTTGACACCCTCTGCAACATTCCGTCCATGCGCCAACCGCACATTCTCCATGTCCATGTTGGACTGCCCGCGCTCGCCATCTCCAGCATCGACTCTCGACGAGAAGCGCCGCTCGTTTCCTCGGATGTTCAAACCTAGCATGGAAAGGCTCCCCCGTCGCACGACAAGCTTCACGGATACTCCCCCTTCGCCTGCGTCAACCAAAACGGCGATACATGCCTCTCCCGTACCTGTTGTCAAGACACGTGCGCGACGTGCGAATTCCACCGGCACCGCCCTGCATAGCATGACAGGCAGCATGAGGAAGAAGTACGGCCTCACCTTCGAAGACCAGACACTCGTCGAGACCCCCGAAGAGCGCACCATGAAACGCAGCGTAGAGCTTCTTCGCATCAAAGAACTCTCACTCCCTTCACCCATAGAACGTCCCTCCGCCGAATCAACCCGCCCACCTCCTGCCGCCATCCCCTCTCCCGTCGTCATCTCCCCATCAACCGAAGGCCCAAGCTCGCCCGCGCCTCTCCTCGCCTCCCCGCTCCTATCTCCCGCCATGCCAGAAACCGAACGTTCCCGCAAGACACAATCCGCTTATGCGCCCATCACAACAACTGGCATGTGGGATTCTGGCGTCACCGAGGGACCCGGTCTCAAGAAACGTCCCACAAGCATGTTTGTCATGAACGAGAAGAAGCGCAAGCAAGAAAAGAAAGGCGGGCGTAGTAAGAGCAAGGAGGGCAAGAGCCAAGCTACTACTGAAGATGGAAATGAGGGTCTTGGACTCAAAAGGAAGAGCGATTGGTACATGTACAAGATCAAGCTTCGCCTCAAGAATTGCTTTAAGAAGGAGAAGGCTTGATTTCTGTTCGCCTAGTCCTCACTCTGGCATTGGCATTTGGGTATAAGCATCGCTGGGAGTTTTTGTTTCTCGGTTACACACATTCAAGGCTGGACCTTTTGCTGGTCTGCAGTCACCACTCATTGCATTATTTCCCCTCTTTCTCTTCTTGTACATACATACACACCCTGTTTCCTACACTAGAGAGGACTTCTCCTCATCGCAAGTCCCTGTTCTTGTCTATACCCATTCCTAGAGCGCCCTGTTGGGTAGCGTGGTTCAATCGATACTTCTTGTCTTTGCTCCGTGGGTTATTTCCGATGCTCCGTGACTACTGCGTGAGCGCGTGGTGATCTTCACGTGCATGTTTATTGCGCCGAAGCTACGGGATGTGCTAATTGCCGTGGGCTAATGCAGAAGCTGCATATTGCGATTCTCTGTTCCGGAGGACTTGGCATCCTCAAGGGCCGATGCTGTCGGCCGAAGTGTCGGACGAGTCGGAGGGTTCGGATGGCGCGGAGGAATGGTTCGACGGAGGGTGGTGGCATGACTCGTGCCTCTCTAGGAATACCTGCACATGGGTAAAACGTACGGTGTCGGAGAGTTGAGAATGGGACTATTATGATGAGATAGCTCCAAAGGGAAGATGCTCGGCATTTTCCCCGGGTGCTTATGTGTCGTATCTCACTGGAGGATGCACTCAATATATCTCCATGGAGGCGAGCCCCCACCAAAGAGGCCCCAAGAAGGTAATCTAACCTGAGTTCGCAACTACGATTTATGTGTCCCTACCAAACCACCGGAGAATTAGGATGACAGCTCCTCAAAAACTCCAACCACTGTATCCTCGCTTCAACCTGATACTGCCTCCCTACCACCTCTCTGAACTCAATAACATCCCCTTTCGTTGCAGCATCTAACCTGTCTCTCGCAAGATACAGCGCCAGATCGAACAATGCCAACAACTCAACATACGCCGCATACGGAGCGTTGAGCCAGCAGTGCAAATGCTCTCGTATCGCATCTGCGTCTTCAAAAACTATCCCCAGTTTCTCAAGATACGAGTGCGGACTCACCGGGAACGTAACACTTGCAGGTGGGTCCAAGTATTCCAAAATCCTATCACAGCTCTCTACGACTTCCTTCGGTGTAACAGGATGATGCGGCGCATCGAACAGATTCCACCCGCAAAACGGACAAGTCCAGCCCTCCTGCTTGCGGAAATGATTTACAATACACTTCGAGCCGAAAATATGCCCGAGGGGGATTTGGACAGGTCGATGCGGCTTCTCAGAACCGATGTCTTCTTTGCGGAGTGTAGTATCGCAGAGCGAACACGACCCAAGGTTAGGTTTCGATGGGTTAAGCATTAGCGGGACCACAGCGTCGAGCGGACGATCTTGCGCCAGGTAGGTTGTGACGCAGCCTACTTGTTCGCGCTCGAGCGTTAGCGGACCGCGTAGAGACATGTTGCCCACTGCGTCCATCGTGCCAGCCAGAACCTGCGCATCTACATCAAAGAGCCGGAGGAACTCCTTCTGCTTCACCGCTGGCAATTCATGCCACCCCAACGCCCATTCCCTCATCCCCCCAGGTAGCGATGGGAAAACATCGAGGTCCATAAACCACTCCCAACCAACTTTCAGACTCTGAGCCAGACTGAGCGTTGCGTCTTCGAGGATACTTTGAAGCTGTGCCAGAAACAGGATTTTAGGCCAGTGGGGTTGAGGTGCTACTTCTACCTCTACTTCTTCATCTGCCCCCACTCGTCGTTTCACATGCGGGAAATACCATTCTTGCGCTAGATATATCAGATCGCCGGCGTTGAACGCGCCGTTGTAATCCAAACCGCATTCGATGTGGCTGATGAGCTCTTGTATTATGTCGAAATATACAGGTAGTGGATGGAGTCGGAGAGCGGAGAGAGAGGTGTCTGTGGGAAAGTCTGCGTACCGAAGGTGGAATTTTAGGATTGAGATGATGGATGTGATTTGGCCTTCGAGTCGGATTATGCGGTTGTAGTAAGGGGAGTGAGAGGGTGTGGTGTGGCGTCGGGGGATAACTTCTCGTTTGGTTCTATGTCGATGCCGTGGTGGGGATGGGGAATCCGTTTCTGCGTTAGACATGTCGGACTGGGTTTGCGCACGTCCTCGTAGCGTTTGTGGGATCCGGTGATGGGGTTGGGGAGGCATTTTAGTTTGAACTTTGAGAGGCGCTGCGTGGACTGTAAAGTTTGGCTTGCAGTGGAGCAAAAGATGTTTGATCAGGCGAAGCTGTATGGTTCATTGAACTAGAAGTTTTACATTCCATATATGCAGGTTCACAAAGCCGACATATACAGCGCACCGACAAGCAACTCAGGGTATCTGTCTCTCCTGCACATCACTTTCTGACCTCTGCGTGTTCGACCTCCGCTGCGTCCTTGATGTCTAGCCCAGCCATGTCTTCCTGATCCTTAGCCACGTCCCTAATCATCATGTTCTGCTTCTTATTCTCGCTCTTCTTGTAGAGATACTGCATGACCAAGAATGAACTCCAGCATCCTACGATGAAGCAGATATTCACTGCATAGCCCTTGGTCCATTTCGGACCCTCGACGATAGGGAATACTGTGATGGGGTAGAAGGAGAAAACAGCCCAACCAGCTGTCAACATAGCACCAACAGTGACAGCGCGTGCTTCTGCGTCGTCACGTAGAGCCATGTTGATGAATGGCATGAGAATGGGCGTCACAGCAGCTGATACACCGAGCAGGTAGTAGCAGGCGAAGTGGTAGCCCTTAGGGATGTTCCAGACCAGAAGAGAGATGTTGGCGACGATGTAGATAGTCTGGACGATCGAGAAGATGGACCAGAGCGGGTAGACCATACAGAGGGAGGTGGCGAGGAGCGCGGCGAAGACGGAGACACCTTGGGCACCAGTTGGGATAGTGTTGATTTGAGGAATGGTGTAGGCGCCGGGGTATTTGGCAGCAAGGTCTTTAAGCCAGATTGCCATCTGTCCGTGAGGATAAGAGGAGGATAAGAAGCTAGTAGTCGGTCAGCGTTCGTAACTATGGGTTGCTCGAAGATGCTCACAAGGTATAACACAGTACGCCCATGTAGAACTCCCAGCGCATGAATGTGCGCTTTGCGACCGTCCAACTAAGCTCTTTGCTTGGTGCGACACCGGCGTTAACCATGCGTGAGCGAGCCAGCGCATGCTCTTTTGGTGTAAGCCACCACGGCTTAGCGCTACTTGGTAGACCCGGGAAGATGAGGAAGCCCGCAAGAGCAATAGGGAGAGAGATTACTCCGTCTATAATAAACAGCCATCTCCAACCCGACATGCCACCGACACTGCAAGAGGTTAGCGATAGCACAGTACTTTGCGGAAGGTCGCTTACCCGTTGAGGTTGTTGTAGGCCGCAGCTTGTAGATATCCACCAAACATCACAGCAATGTTGTTGGAGACATACCACACTCCCGTCCTTTTGAAGACCTCCTCAGGCCTGTACCAAGAGCCAAGTACATATGTGGTACCAGATGCTACAGGCGTCTCAAGCAGACCGAGCAGAAATCGAGTACCGTAGATGTCGTTTCGGCTGCGCATTTGACTCTGGCAGAAAGTCACGATGGACCACAGCACTTCCATGGTCGGCAGATAGTACTTGGCAATCTGCGGTCGGGATAAAAGGAGTAAAGATGGGACCTGGAATACGAGATACCCGACGTTGTAGAAGGTGTCGAATAACGAGTACTCATTGCCGTAGAGACTAAGCTCTTCCTTCATGCCTGACACATAGGCGTTCTTGATGTTCGAAGAGTCTAGCCACTTGAGGAAAACTGGTCTTGTTAGTATATAAGGAACCAAAGTGATAGTACGGTAACTTACACATGAAGGAACAGAATGTCAGCAGACAAGCGTCCATCTTCCTCAGCAACTTCCTCTCCTCCTCAGGGTAGTGCTTAGGATACCATTCCCAGAGGTACATCCAAGCCTTCCATGGCGACCTCTTGGGAGCTTCAGCAGGCGCGATAACGTTGGTATCGAACTCGCCGGTCCTGTTGGCGACACCGGCAGTTTCGTCGTTGGGCTGCGTGCTAGCCATGTTGAGTTGCCTCTCGTCAGATGAAAGTGTTGACGGCACGACCTCGGAAACGTACAACATAGCTGGGGTCTTCGTGCTTAAAGCCCTGACGTTCGTCGGAACCCGAAGAACAGGTGAGTAGGTAGTTCCCGCATGGCTAAATCTCAAAGCTAGTAAGCGACTGGACGGCTCCTGCTCGGGCGTCGGGATATTTCTAGATGCGGATGGTCGAGTGCGGGGGCGGGCTTCTTCTGGGGAGAAATCCACAAACGGGCGCTGAAAGAGGTATTAACCCGTTATCCGGTGGGTGTTGAGCTGCTGGAAGATAGCCAAGAGCATGGGGAAGCTGTGGGGTGATGGAATGAAGCTCAAATCTTGGTTCGGGAAGGATGCATTGCCCAGGTGCGGTCCATGAATTGTGCCAAGGCGCAGCCACAGGCAGGCAACTTCGGCGCATCGTCCGCCTAACAAGCTTGAAAGTAGGCCTCGGAATCACTCGCTGATTACTATACCGCTCATTTTACGCATGCGAATTTTCTTCCATTTGGCGTTGCGCAGATGCATGTATGGTGTGGTAACATGCGATGACGTCATAGACACGTTCGCGAATGGACAATCTTAGGCGTGTCTTTACGCGTCGCAACCGCGAACATGCACATTCATCGCCAACATCTACGATTAGGAACCGACACGTGTGTTTTCACTTTCTGATCCCGTCTCGACAAAGTTTTCGCGTTAATCATGCGCTCCTTGTGCAACCTTGGAAGCGGTGGAAGAGGATGGTGCCTGGGGACCTCCCGTACAGAGCCGTGCATGTGCATCTTCACGCGACTATACATCTCAGGACAGTATATATACGGCAGAGCGTGATCGCGACAGGGATTCGATTTTGGATTGACTATATCTACTTCTACGCTACGCTTTGCCACTACTTCAACGCTTCAATCATCTTGTACAAGCTGTTCTCTAGGGTGACAGGCGATCGAAGAGCAGACCAATCGTAGTTCAGCAAGCCCCAAGCCTCATCCGCCCCAATCAGTGTGTTGGGAGTTCGGTTAGGACGAGTCTGGAGGTAGAAGCTACCTGAGAGCTCCCAATGCTGCCAGCTGACCTGGTACTCCTTCACCATCTCCACCAAGCATCCAGCGTAGGTGGTTTGGTTCCAGTATGTTCCGTTCTGGATGAAACCCCATTCGGAGATGACCATCGGGAAGGTATACTTGGTGGCTGGATCGTCGGCGTTGACGGCCTGGAAGCCCTTCTGATACCACTTCCTCTTGAAGGTCGCGCAGTCATCCTGGGTGGCTTCGAAGTCATACTTGTGGATCTCGAGAACGATCTTGTCCTTCCACGCGAAGCTATCGGGCACGAACTTTGCAGTCTTGTTCGCAGTCGATGTACCACTGGTACCGTTGAGCGTCTTTCCGAGAGGGATGGGGTCAATGTACGTGTCGTACGAAAGACCAGAGAAGAAGATTAGCGCATTGGGATCTGCCTCGTGAACGGCGTCTGCAGCGGCAGTCATGTGGATATACCATGTATACCAGTCGACCGGCTCGGCTACCTTGGCAGCTCGCAGCTCATTGCGCAGTCCCATTGACGAGAAAGTCGACCAGTTTTCTTTCGCCTAATCTCGTCAGCATCTGTTCCACAGCAGACGGTCTGTTAAGTACATACGTGCTTCGTCATAAAGGCCAAACCTCGTTTCCACTTCTCCACGTCGAAGTCCTTCTCGCCGAACCAGCCGTTACCGTCGTCATCGCCGCAGCACCAGAATGCCTTCGACACGTGGTTGTCCAAGTGGATGATCACACCTTGACGTGAAAGTTCCTTGCCAACGGCATCCCAGACTTGCAGTCTTGTCGTGTTCTTGGTGAACTGTGGGTTCTTCTCCAGGATAGAGTTCAGGACGTCGGTGCCGTTCGTGCCCGGAATCGCATTGAGGACACTCTTTTCAAGAGTCTGGTCTGGGCTATTCGCAAGATAGTCATCCACCATCTGGATTGCAAACGGCATGCGGACGGAATTGAGGCCGAGCTTAGGGAACCACGACACGATATCTTGAACGGAAGAGTGCTGGAGGCCTTCGGGAATCATGATCTCTTGGTGGCCCGGCCAATTTGTCGACATGAAGTGGAAGACATCGCCATTCGCGTCGATTATGTCTCGTCCCTTGGTTGACAGAGGAAGTATGGAAGCAGCCCTCTTCAACGCTGATGGCGGCGCGGCAGCAGCAAGGGAAATCAGCAACAGTTTCGCAGTTGCACGAGTGAGCAGCATTTTGACGTTAACAGGACGAAGGGTTGGTTGATCCTATCCACGGCACGAACCCTAGCATCTTTATGCCGACAAAGCTTCACGCGATCGTCTCAAACTTAGACACGTCGATATTCACGGCCAATATCTATCCGTCCCTACATGCAAGCAGCGCTACTGCAACCCCAGACTTCACAGATAGTACAATACGGGGAAAGTAGCTAGAAGCCCAGCCTTAGGTCAACGCTACGACGCTTCCAAGGCTTATCAACACAGCAAGCGAAGGAACAGATACCTCTTCTGGAAGACCGTCCACGAGTCCAAGAAAGCATAGTCACGAGCTCCAGAACAATACGAGATCAAGAAAAGCATGACGTCCACATCGCGGGCGATGCCCTGAGCTTGTGCAAACGGCCGGGTAGCGGGCATCGGGGTAATGCAGATCCCACGTTTAGCCTACACCTTGGCTTTGAACATTCGTCGCGAGATAACCCGGTATCGATAACAGCCCCACCATGCTACGCGCGACAGTTTACGCGTCGCCCGATGTAGGCTTTTTGGCAAGAAGCAACACCTTGGCTACTCTTCGCTCTGCTTCCTGACTCTTCTCTTCGCTCAATTACAACCGAACATTCTGTAGAAACGGCACATCTCAACGACACAGTTCCAAGTGCCATTGGACGGTATTCACTTTCGTATCGAACATACGTCACTCACAAATTCCGATCGCGAAGCAACATGGGAAGCGCTGTACAGGATGCCAAGATGCCTTCCAAGGCCGCAGTGTAAGCAAACACGCATGCAATACGACAGAAGCCAATGCTGAGTCTATCTAGCGTGAAGGATGTCGACCTCAGTCAGATCTATTCCGAAAGCGTGGCAGCAAAGATCGTTCAAGTCGCGCAACGCGGTCTCAAGCAACAAGCTCCTTTACAATCATACCCACACACTGTACCCCAGATTGGCCCAGACGCCGGCCGATACGAAGAGCGGGAAGCAGATTTCTGGACCTGCGGCTTCTTCCCAGGATGTATATATGCCCTCCTCGAACGCTCGATACGATACCCACAGGCCATTGATGTGTCAGAACATGTACGGCCACAGATCCAAGACCAACTACTCAAGTTAGGACGCCACTATGGCGTCGCTATCAACCAGATGTCAGGTCGAACAGATACACACGATATGGGCTTCATTGTGCAGCCCGCGTTACAAAAAGATTGGGAGTTGACTGGCAACAAAGAGAGCCTACAATCCGTCGTCAACGCAGCATACGCGCTCGCATCGCGATACGACGACAGAGTGAAAGCGATTCGGAGTTGGGATGTTGCGATCAACGACCGTTACTCAATAACGGGCATGTCGACAAACTTCCTTGTCATCATAGATAGCATGTGCAGTAAGTCCTCGTCCACCCCTTCTCTTCCCTTACCCAACTCACCCATCCACTACAGATCTCGACCTCCTCTACTTCGTCGGCCACATCCAAAACGACCAAAAGCTAATCGACATCGCAACCCAACACGCCGACTCCATCATCCACGAAATTCTGCGACCAGACTTCTCCTCCTACCACCTCGTAAACTTCGACCCGCGGACCGGTCAACCACAAGCCAAGATGACGAATCAGGGTTGGAAAGACGATTCGACGTGGAGTCGAGGTCAAGCCTGGGCGATAATGGGTTTTGCGCAGACGTATTCGTGGACGAAGGATATCAAGTACTTGGCGACAGCGATCCAATGTGCAGAATACTTCTTGCGCAGATTGAAAGAAGGAGAGGGGAAGTGGCATCACCCCATGGTCCCGTGTTGGGATTTCGACGCGCCACAAGATCATCCTGAAGAACCGCTACGCGATGTCTCCGCAGGCGTGATAACAGCGAACGGTCTTCTTATCATCCACCAAGCACTCCAATCCCTCTCTTCAGCCACGGTATCGCAACTCCTTTCTAGCAACGCCACCAATTTCCTCGACATCGCGTTGCAGATCGTATCACAGACGCTAGATATGTCATACGACTCTGATCTCGCATCTTTTGAACTCCCCACTAAGAGCATGGTCAATGGGAATAGCGTTAACGGCGCAGCGGTAGCATCGGAGCTGAAGATCAAAGAGTCGGGTTTTGAGTGTATACTAAGGAACAGCACGACGAATTGGAACGAGCATGCGCATATGAAGTATGCAGATCATGGGTTGGTGTATGCGGATTACTATCTTTTGGAATTTGGGAATAAGCTTTTGAGGGCGGGGTTGCTGTGATGGGTGTTGGGATGAGTGGTGTTTGGCGAGGAATGCATGTTGAAGTGATGCAAGTCTGCGTTGTCTGCTTGTGGTTTTGATGTGCGTTTGCTGTGAGTGAGCATGTGTGAAGACGGCATCAAGGAAACTGGCATATGAGAAGAGCAGAATAGGTGAGCAACGAGCAAGAGTCAAAGAACGAGCGGTTGGATTTCTTTTGCGTGCGTGACGAAATGAGCGTGATGCGTAAGGCGTGGTAGTGTATATACAGCGATACCAAGCGAGCGTGGGTATGTATATGCAACAGCATAAAATGAGTGTGATAGTGCAAGTGTGCACAAACGTGAAGAGGACATGTACAAGAAAGATGAGCGGAAAAGTGCGCCGCAGCCAACAAACAGCAGGAACGATACCTAGCCGGCCATTGTCACTGGCTTACACAGTAACATACTCCATGATAACCGAAGTCACAACCGTAGTCTGCGGATCAGCGGGCGCGGTAGGTTCAGGCGCTTGCTCTGAGACGGCCGGTGCGCTAGAAACCTCGGGTGTAGGAGTAGGTGTAGATGAGATAGCCGGCGCGCTGGAGACCTCAGATGATGCCGCAGGTGTAGGCGTTGATACCGCAGGGGTCGAAGCACCCAGTGTCACATACTGCGTAATGACCGACTCCAAGAGCGTCGTTGCAATCTGGGGACCCGCACCACCAGCATCAGGCGCGACTTCCGGGACCGGAGCCTTCTTCCATACAAACTCGCCAGTTTCAGCGTCGTAAGATCCGCTCGACTGATCGGCAGGGAGAGTGGAGTTGGTGCCGTCGGGTCCAGGTCCGTTGTACACGGGCGGGTTGCCTTCGATGTCGTCTTTGTATTCGACATCGCCGTTCCAGGTCGGCACCTCGGTGTCGGACTCTGGGATGCTGACTGGCACGCTGAATACGGTGACGTTCAAGCCCTTAGGTGGCTTGTTTCGCGGGATCTCGCTGAAGTCCAGAGCTTGAATGCGCCAGCTGAACTTCTCCTTGAGGTAGGCTTGTACTGTCTCTTTGTCCAGGCTCTTGAGCTCGCCGGCCGCGTGTTTCTGTGCGAGCTTCTCCGTCAGGCCGATGTTGCCCGTAACGATGTTTGAGGAGCTCATTCGCGGAGAAGACAGGGTGGCGAGCTGACCAACATAGTTGGGGTCCGTAGGCCAGTCGATGGGGTTGGTGCTGGGCTCGCCAAGGAAGGCGCGAACGGCGTAGGAGACCTTGATGTCGGTCGGCATGTTGACTTCGCACTGCCAGTCGGTAGCCTGTACCGTGCGGTTGATGCTGTCTCCGCCTGGAGTCGGGAACGTCGCATTGACTGTCGCATTGGTCTCGCTCAGGCCTTGAGTATGGGCCTTGTACAACTGATTGATGGACGATGTCAGCGTCGCATTGCTGGGGTTGTTCTCGAGTTCGGGGTAGGTGTATCCAAAGGAGGTCCAGTTGCGGGAAGTGGTTGCAGTCCACATGTCGCCAAGGGCATTCATGTGGAACGGCGCGAGTGGCGAAGCAGTACCAAGAACGCTACCGCTGGCGACAGCGAATGAACCCATACGCTGCTCGGCGTCCTCGACCCAGGTGTCGGGGTAGCGAGTTTGGTACATAGATATGATCCGATCAATGTTACTACACACGATTAGCATTACTCTCAGCATTGCGTTCCGAGGACTTACCAGTGATGAAACCAGAAGATGGGGTCGAACGCCGAAACCTCCACTATGCCCATGTGACCCAATCCAAAGACGGTGTGCAGACCATCGTGTAGAGTCTCAAAGTTTCCGATCTTGCCACCGTTCGCCTTGTTGCTCACTTGGCTGAAGGGTTGGTACGTTGTCAACAACTTGTAGAGCATATCGCGGAGATTGGGCTGCTGTTTGCCAACTCGGTCGTTAACCTCGCTGTTACGGCTGGTGGCATTGGCAGCGTGGGGATCAGCTGGGTACCGAATAGTGTGGTTCCAGTACTTGAACTCAAACTCGCTCTACTTGTGTGTCAGCAGCCAAGTTCTTCAGGATGTTATCTTCCTCGCGGAGCGTAGACGTAAAGAATTGAGACGTACCAGGGGAGCGAAGTCATCATACTTCAGAGGGTGGAAGTCGTACTTGTACAGAGGGTTGGGGATATACCCTGTAGTCCCATTGGGAAACGTGACAGTAGCCGTGAGGCAACGCACGTTCTCAGGGATGACACCCTCTTCACTGTTTGGGGGATCCATCGCCCAGTCCCAGTAAGGAAGGCGAACTCGGTTTGCAATATCCAAGGCCTTGTTACGGGCTTCGCCGATGGGATACTCATTGGCAACCTCGACCGCGCGATCATGGAGAACCTGCTCGAATAGCGCGAGATAAGGTCGGTGCCATGGACCAAACATGCTGGACCCATGGGGACAGTATCCCATCATCTCATGACCAGCTGTCCCGTTCACATTGTCCCACTTCTGGAATGGCACTCCGTGTATCCCTAGAGATGTTAGTCAAGCCTCTGACAAGAACATTAATTCCATACCTGCGACCTGGAAGTAAGAGATCTTCTGATCCTGGTCCATAGCCTGGAAGCGAGCAAACGCTTGGATGAAGATATTCCATAACTCCGTGTCTTTCTGCAGCTCACGGAGTTCCTGTCGGGGGTGTACTCCAGTTCCTTGGACCCCGACAACACTGAAGTAGCTGTCGTCTGCCTTGGCAACTCCACATGAAGGGCCATTGGTAGAGTTGGACACAGCTTGTACGCTTGCCAGTAACGAGAGTGTGGTAGCCAGACCAGTGAAAGAAAAGAGTGATTTCATGTTGGCCAACCGGTAGCGAATGAAGATGATCGTCAAGACCTGAACGAATGGAAGCTGCAACAAGTTGCGAACGAAAAGAATGAATGTCACTAGGACTGAAAGAGAGACTGGGCAAGCGATGCTGTGATGGGATTCTGGATGGACATGATGCTGTATATAAGATGTCTGTGAAATGAACGGCTGGTGGCACAATCCACTGCCCCGCTACCTGTAAGTGACGTACCGCGTTGTAGTACCGGCACTTCATGCGTAAAACATCCACCAGCTGTCAAAAGGCAGGTGCAGCAGCGTGTACGCCGTTGTTGCTCGGCGCATCCTTGCATGCAGGACGATGTTCGAAACATGTTTGGTTTCTTCGCATGAACGTGCCAAGGACGGAGGAGCACGAGGTATGGATCATGAAGACAGACAAGCAGAGTCCTATAGACTATTTTCGAGCTTCGCTGGGGGTCCAGTACCGGTGTTCATGATCTCAGTATAATTGCGCTTGACCGTCCAGTTAATTACCCCGGCCAAGACGCAGCATAGACAGTTGAGTATCTTGGGGATGCCTTAGCCCCACCGGCTAGTCGAGAATCAAACATCGGCACGAGCAGGCCATCTTCGATCGGTGCAGTATACTGATTGTGGCTGTGGCGTGGGGAAGCTGTGTGATGTTGATTGTGTGAGATGGCAGGGCGGCGGCACAGACCACCACGGCATGGTGCGACGCTCACAGAGAGCAAATTGACGAGCAACCGAAATTCAGGCACCTATCAACTCGGATGTGACGGCCTAGAAGATCGATGCGATGAAACAATGTCGGCACGTAGCGATTGCTAACCGGCAAAAGTGGTGTTATCGCGATTTTGCGGGGGATGTGCTTCATACACTTTCCATAGTGTCGGGAGGCATGGAGTCATCGACATCACGCGCTGTGAAATTGCGTTTCGTGTCCTTGTGTTGTTTCGCCTGGCTGCTCTTTCTCTTTCTCGAACCCGCACTATCAGATGCGATGTGCAGTCTTGCCCACTTTTTGACTCTCTTGAACACTTCGATTACCGGCACCGGGAGCCCACCCAGCTGGGCAGCTGATACACCATTGCTTCTCGTCAAGACATCAATAGTCGTTCGAGCCCGTGTGATGGCCGGGTTCAGAGATTGGCCAAAGACGGTGTCACCGAACGATGTCAACGCAATGTTCCTCAGAAGCAGAATGTCGCCAACTTTGATGCTCTCTAGTGTCTGTAGCAGTTGGTTTTGAACGTGGTTCTGTTCGTTGTTGGACTCTCGGGGTGGGCGCAGCCAGAACGTGACCTTGAAGTCTGAGCGTGTATCATCCGCAACGATGATCTCCCATAGATTCATCTTGTATCCACCCTTGCGAACGAAGACTTCTTTCTGTTCCGGGGTCGCTGTCACAACGCATAAGAAGTTTGGTGTTGGAGTTTGCGGGTAGATCGCTCGTAGACGCTGTGCGCTAGGTAGCAATCCAAGAGGCGTGATACTCATTTTGGGCGCGACTTTGACGAGTAGTGTATGCTCATCGACTTTGCTAGGGCTATCAAAGTCCGATAGAGTAGTTCCGAAAGAAGTAGTCAAGAAGGACGAGGAGCTGACGCTCTTATCCGTTATACCGTCTGGTAGGACCTGAGACGACAGTAGCGTGTCGTGGAATATGAGCGAATGCTCAAGATAGCCAGGTGTGGCGATGGACGTATCCTCAAAGGCGATAGATGTATCCAAGTGGGTTGTATCCTCCTGTAAAAACGACGTATACCGGCTCACATTGGGCAGCGAAACATCTGATATGTCTTGACCTCGAACATTTCCTGGAAGAAAAGGTTGTGACCATCCAGTCTGGAGCCGAGGGTTCTTAAAAGGCAGTCCGCGCCATTTTAATGACGGCGTGGATTCATTTGCAGGTGTGGAAACACTTGTTGCTGCATCAAAGGGACGGCAATCCTCGACTGCCAAAAGTATGTCCTCGCTGAACTCTAGATGGTTGCGCAAAGGCGCTCCATTGAGCATCTTGAGCCGCATCTTACGCTACTGACGCGTCTACGCGTACGTGTTGGATCGACGCGTGCGCGATCGAAGTCATGGGAATAGCGTCGTTCTTCGAAGTATATTAGCGTAGGAGGAATGCGAGGGTTATGTGGAGCCGAGTAGAGAGCAGTCGGAGAATGTGAGGATGTCCGGGCCTCGTCCAACAAATCCGAAGCTGGAAGCATAATCGTCGCCTAATCAGATAACGCGAGGTCCGAAAGCCGAAGCAATTCACCGAGACAAGAAAAGCAACATAAGAGGCGGTCAGCTTCCGTCTAAACTCCCGTAAGGCTTCGACTTCGGCGATATTCGATAATTACTGTTCATTAGGCAACAACGGCCGTGAACGGGCGTGAAAGACATCATCCAGGTACCAACCACTCCGTAAGCGTCGGCGTCACCGCGCGCCCACATTCCGCGGCCTTGGCGATCTAATCGCCGCATCTGATATAAAGATACGCAATGGCACCATCCAAGACGCCCCACCGGCCGATAAACGCCTACCGAGTCCCTGCCATGTTGCGCAACCTGTCCTACAAGCTGACCTCAGCACTCTCGTCGTCGGAAGTCCCGACGTTGGCCAAGGACAGCGACGAATTCACCAAAGCGAAGAAGACGGAGGAGTTGTTCCCGACCACCGACCCCGCGGTAGATGGCGATGATTGCCTACATGACTGCGCCAGCTGCAGTGTCAAATACCCGCGCAAATTTGAGATTGATGAGACGGAAGAGCTGTATGGACACGTGAAGGGATGGAGTACGCATCTGATTGTTGCGACGGGCAAGACGGATTGGGTGCGCGATGTCGCAGACGAGAAGGGCAGCATCATGGAGGCGGTTGACCGGGGCGATGCAAAGCCTAGCAATGGGGTGAGTTTAGAAATATGCTACCGTCAGGTTGTGTCGAGTGCGAGCTAATTGGATATAGAAACTCATGTTATCCGCCTCTAATATGCCCGTCCCAGACCACTCCGATCACAGTTCCATGGTACTACTACTACCGTCATGGCAATTCATAGACAATGTCACGCCTGCGAACATCCCCGAACTTATCACCGACTACATCAACCCTGGTCCTACGAACAATACCCCATTGCGCTCATGGAAAACTGCCGCGCTACCACCTTCAGAAAAGCCGGAAGAGACTTCTTCCGCCGACGCCGACGCGCCCTCCTCCATACCCCCGTCGATACCCGCACCCCAACTCAAAGCCCGACCATGTCCACACAAATACCTCATCCTCATGTGCAGTCAAAAGACACGAGACGCACGTTGCGGCCAGTCAGCTCCTCTTCTACGAAAAGAGTTCGAGCGACTGCTCCGTCCATTGGGACTATACCGTGATCTACACGACGAGCGACCGGGCGGCGTAGGAATATACTTTATTAGCCACGTTGGAGGCCACAAGTTCTCGGCAAACGTCATGGTATACCGACATTCTTCAGTCGTCACACGGCCCGAGAGCACGAATGGCACTGCCAATGGACATACCAATGGCGCGGAGAAGCGACTCGCGGAGCTCAAGCTTGAAGATGATAATGGGCAGGAGGTTCTGCTGGATGCTAACAAGGAACAGGAGGCAGAGGGTAAGGGTGAGGCTGCGCAGTGTATATGGTTGGCGCGAGTGAAGCCTGAGGATTGTGAGAATATTATTAAGTACACGGTGCTGCAAGGGAAGGTGGTGAAGCCGGAAAGGCAACTGCGAGGTGGATTTGATCGGTGCAAACAGCTAGCTAGTTGGTAATCGATCGTGAAGCACTGCTGTATCCTCCAGCTCAGGCGCTGTCTGAGTCCCAGGCAACTCGTATGGTGTTTCCTCCACGTCCTCTGATGTAGTCCCACGACCCTCGTCGTTTGCACTTGCCGGCTTCTCGCTTTTGTTGCTATCTGGATGTCTCCGGCGAATCCAGTACATCGCGATGAATATGATGCCAACGATTGTTAAACCGCCCAAAACGCCGCCTATTATCGCACCCATATTGAGGGACTTGATTTCGGGATCGTTGATGGGAAACGACAGGCTGTCGCTGAAAGTCGCAGAGTAACTAGAAGTTGACGTTGCACTCGTTTGCTGAGACAGTAGAGGTGTATCGCTGGAGTCGGATTGGTCGACTGTTATGGTGACAGTCTTGAAGAGAGGCGGTATTATGACTGTAGAGTATGGTCCGGGACTAGGTGTAACGGTGACGGTCTTGAAGAGAGGTGGTATTATGACGGTAGAGTATGGTCCTGCGGATTCCGTTGCCCTTTCTGTCAATAATTCGCCGATGTTGGATGTTATTTTAAGCGTGCGGAGGCTTTCTGAAGTCGACTTAATCGGGGGCGTCCAGTAAGAGTAGGATTGCTTTTTATTGTTAGATTGTAGACCGGTAGCAAGATGACCAAAGTACATACCGTCTCCATCTCAGCTCGCCGTGGTTGGTCTCTCAATGGCTGCGAGTAGCTTCTACGAGCAAGAAGGGGGTATCTAAGACAACGTCAGTCAGGTAGAAGATTGCATAGTTCTGCTTCCTGTACACAGCCCCTTTCAATAAAAACGTCGATGTAACACTAGAATGCAGCATTGCGGTTGTGTCACTACCTGTATCAGCATGGTGCAGTGCAGCGCGTAGAAACTGCGCGAATGACTTAGCCAAAGGCTCCGTAGTACAGAATACGTACGTACTGGGGTATATACAAGGTTAGGCTCGATATGCAATGAATCACGCGCATACGGGAAGATACATGTTCAACTCGAACATAACATGGGGTATCATTTGTGGTATATCGCTTGACCATGCGTCTATGGTGTCTGTCTGTCGGCTTTATGTGGCCCGTGGTCTTCAAGATGGCAAGCAATTTTCGATCTTTCCAAGTATTGTGACTTCGCAGCGTGCTCCCCATCGATATGCTGAACATGGTCGACCTTGCTCGACGAGATTAGTTGAGCATTTCGGGCTGCCAACTCGTACTTAGTGTCCATAGAAGGGCTCCACGCGTGAGGATGGCAACTTCCTGTAGGGTCTTGATCACCACGAAAAAGCCGTGAGTGACTCTTGATACGCTTGTGATCACACGGCTTGTTGTATGTGCACATGCACGTCTCTCATCAGCCCGCGGCTTCCTTGACTTTGCCACCGGGATTGGGCGCTTCGTCGATGAACTGAGGTGGCGCAGTGTCGTCCAACATGAAGTTTGGCACGCCTGACGACTCTCCGATACCCTCAAAGTCGACCTCGTCACCTAGTGCCTCCAGCTCAGCATCCAACTCCGACTCATCCACATCTTCTGGCACGTCGTAGCTGCGGCTTATAGCGTCTTGTATATCGTTGCCCATATCCATGAGATCGGCCATCTCGTCTTGCAGCTTGTCGATCTTATCGATATTGACCTTGCCGTATTGCTTCCGTAGCTCTTTTGTCGTTGTCTTCATAGCGTCGATGGTAGTCATTGTGTTCTTGAGGTTGTCCTGCATCATGCCGGCCTGTTCCATGTTCCACGATTGCGCCTGAAGTTGGTCGCGCTGCGCTTCGTATTGCTTTCGCTGCTGGAGGACTTTGAGGGCTTTTTGCTTGATGGCGGTTTTGCCGGGGCCGTCGCGCATCTTGGCGAGCTTCTGCTGGTAGGTGGACAGCTCAGCATTGAGCTTGGCGAGCTTGACGTCGAGACTTTCGATGCGTGTGTCGACCTGAGCGCGTCAGTATTGGAAGGATGTTGCTTAATAGGTAGAGCCTACATTGGAGATGGCGCTGTTGAGCGTGGGCTTGGGCGCGGTGCTCTTTGCACCGAATAGGCGGTTCATACTGGTGGAGGGATATGTGGGTTGCCGGCCGGAGAGTCGCGATATGCAGCCGAGGGAAGAGGACAGGCGTGGAGTGTGTTGGCAGTGTGGGGTGAATGGCAGGCACCGAACGGTGGTCGTAGCTCCGGCAGTTCCCGCTAACGTCATCGATCGTCACGTGGGCGCTAACGATGCTGACCCTGAGATGCCCAAGCAGGATTGCCATACACTGGAGTGTCCCATGCTATGGCAATTGCCGACATTGACAAGCTAACAAAAGCAACCATAGTACATGGTGAAGCAATTCATTAACAGCTATCTACAAATGAGTCAAATGAACTTTCTCACAGGCGGATGCCGGCATGCGATGCTAGATGCAAGATGCACCAAACCATCACACTGTCGAAGGTCCTACATCACCTTGAAAAGCTCCAGCATGCGCGGTGTTCATGCCATCAGCACTAGCTCGCATGCTTATCTGGAGCAACTACTGGGTCCCAGACTTGTACCCAGATACAGCTGGTAGTCTTCTTCCAAAGTCGACACGTCCTGATTGATATCAGGGAGGTGCAAGTGATCTGCGGGCCTGGCACGCTATCCGTACTACGCAGCTTCTAGCCTTGCCTGTCACCACCAAACCCAACAATACCCACAACACTCCGACTCGGGAGACACAGACGTTTTCGCAGCCTGTATCTGTAACGACGCCGCGCAACAGTCGGTGCATGGGTTGATCTAGAGCCTCGCGCGCTTTTCGTTTGCCATTGCCTTCCCCGCGGCCTCGTTCGCCTAAGGTACCTGTCCCACCTGTGCAACACAGCCCAAGCCACGAACACGCGCCCTCTGTCTCACTCGAGTCGCTCTGCTAACCAGCCCGCCGCCGTGTCCAGCTCTGCACGGCGTGTCCTTCTATGACGCATTGGTCGCCGCAGTAAATCTACGCATGTGCCCCACGCTGCTGCACACGCTCTCGAGTGCCTCGCCCGACCCTTCCCCTGCCCCGCCCTTGTAGCCGCAAACCACCGCAACCACCATGTTTTGGCGCTTCGGCGGGTATGCGCAGCTGTCGTCGCTCGACAGCATCCTCGACAAGCCCGACGTCACCGTCGAGGAGCTGCTCGACGAGTCGGACCTCATACAGGAGCTCAAGCAGCAGAACTCGAAGCTGATAGAATACCTTCGCGATGAGAATGTCTTGGAACGCCTGCTGCGCTACGTTATCGCCGCCAGACCCGACCTGCCCCCCGACGACGACACCGGAGGAGAGCCTGCGCACGAAGCGAGGAGTCCCAGTCGGACGGGCTTCTTCGGCAAAGTCAGGGCGCGCTCGACATCCACCACCAAGTCCGATGCGGGCGATAGCGAAGAGACCAAGGAGGAGCGACAGCGCATGAAGTACGCCTATGTGTCGTGCGAGATCCTATCGTCCGAAGTATGGTCCATATCCGAGGCGGTCCTCGAGAACCAGGACACCTTGCGACAGTTCTGGGCCTACATCAAGCAGCCTGCGCCGCTCGACCCCGTCCAGGCTGGCTACTTCACCAAGGTCAACGAGTCGCTGCTCGACCGCAAGATGGAGGAGATGCTCGACTTCTTTAAGTCGTTGGACAATGTTGTAACAGACATGTTGCAGCACGTCGACTGCTCGGTCATCATGGACCTGCTGTTGAAGATCATCAGCCTGGAGAAGAGCGAGGGCGGACAGGGCATTGTTGACGTAAGTCGTCACGTACACGCTTGCTGGCATAACTAACAGACTCCAGTGGCTGCAACAACAGAACCTCGTCCCCCGCCTGATATCATTCCTCGCCCCCGATCAGTCGACTTCCACACAAACCTCAGCTGGCGACTTCCTCAAGGCTATCATCACGATATCCGCAAACGCTACCACGCAAGACCAGTCCGTTATCGGGCCTAACGAGCTTACGCGCCAGCTTGTCTCCGAACAATGTCTGAAACAGCTGATTGATTTTATGCTGCAAGGCGGCAACCCGCTCACAGTCGGTGTGGGTATCATCATCGAGGTTATCAGAAAGAACAACTCCGACTATGATTTGGAGAACCAGATTGGGCCGGTACCCAAGAACTCAGACCCCATCTACCTGGGAACACTGCTTCGCCAATTCGCCAACCACATCCCGCAGTTCATGGACCTGGTTAATAGCTCAAGCCAGATCGTGACACAGCGCGATGGCAGCACTACAAAGAAGAAGCGAGAGCTCAAGACAGCCTTTGGCGAGAAGATCGAACCGCTTGGATTTGATCGGTTCAAGACTTGTGAGCTGATGGCCGAGTTGCTGCACTGCAGTAACATGGCTCTGCTCAACGAACGGGGCAGCGAAGCTGAAGTCAGGAGGCGAGATGCCGAGCGGGAACGTCTCAAGGCTGACGGCAAATTGACTTCAGCGATTTCCGGCAACCCAGGCGATTTCTCCACCAGTGTTGATAGTCAAGGCTTCCACCACGCGCGCGCCCCATCTATGGACTCTCCTGCAGAGATAAAACCTCTGCATGTACAGAACAGTTCGGAAGACGACTTTGAAAAGGTTGTCGCGCCGGAAGTTGCCGTCGAGGAGGCCAAAGACACGGCAACGGAGAAAGAGCAGATTGGAGAGCCATTGGAGCCCTCGCCGAAGCTGCCGCCGAGAGATGCGCCACAGGAACCGTCCGCTGCCAAGACGGCAGGCGATGACGGCGAGTTTGTTGACGAGCCTTTGACACCACCCAAAGACGCTGCAGCACCTGCTGAGAAGCCTGCGTCTCCATCTAAGCCTGCAGATGATGCCGAGTCACCTACGTCAGCCGGCCTGAGTGCCAAGGTCGATGAGCTTGAACTGGATACTGACACCGTTATGAACGACCGCCAGGAACCGACAGAGCCTGCGAAGACCGAGAAGTCGGATGCCGATGTCAAAACCCCGCCATCTCTTCTCACACAGCAGCTCAACCAGACCTCGGATACCACCACCGCTGAACAATCTGAAAGCCTCTCACCCCATCCAGACGACAAACCAGCGCCACTGTTTGCGGGTAAGAACCGCAAAAGTGAGGCCGAACCAGCCAGCATCGACACCTCGCGCTTCACCGCACCAGTAGCAGGATCAGATCTTTCGGAGATAACTCCTATTGATGAGTCTCAGAGCGTGCGTTCGGTGGTATTCGGCAGTGCAGAGGATGCTGCCGGCTTCGAGATTGACATTGACGGTACGCCTGTTGTTGGCGACTTGCTGAAGATCACATTCGTTGAGAACAAAGTTGTACCAACGATACTGGTAAGTCCTCTCGATTTCTTTCAGTGATGTATGCTAACTTTTTCAGGACTTCTTCTTCCGCTTCCCGTGGAACAACTTCCTACATAACGTAGTATACGACGTCGTTCAGCAAGTCTTCAACGGCCAGATGGACCGTGGATATAACCGTCAGCTAGCGATTGACCTCTTCGACAACGGAGGCATTACCGAGCGCATTATCAAAGGACAGCAGGAGAGCGACAAATCGCACCAAGAAACGTCCATGCGACTAGGATACATGGGTCACCTCACCCTGATTGCAGAAGAGGTGTTGAAGTTTACAGAGCGACATACCGATGAAGTCTTGTCGCAGATGGTCCTAGAGAAGGTCCACGCTCAAGAGTGGGTGTATTATGTGGAGCATATTCTGGCCGAGACGCGAGAGCGCGACAACGCCATTCTCGGAGGCGTACGACCCGACATGAGCGTCGGGCCCAGACAAGCTGTGCTTAACGCCGTCAACGCAGCAAACAACAACTTTGGAGGCGACAGTGGCGGGCTCTCCAATGCAAGCCTTGCCAACAACGGAAACATAGGCCTCGACAGCATGGAGCTCACCAATGCTGGTGACACTGAGGGTGGTGGGTACACCTTCAGCGGAGGCTCCTTGCTTAGTGGCTTTACTAACTCGAGTGACGAAGAAGACGAAGACATGGACGATGTCGACACCGAGAGAGAGCGGGAACAACGACAGGGACCTGTCGACGACTCCGAACAAGTGGGTGAAATCTCATTTGACGATGCTGATATGGACTATCGATAAGTCCATGGCCCCGAGCATACACACTATACCACGAATGTTTCCCGCCCTTGGTGCGTTTCCTTTTCTTATACTTGTTTGTATCATGAGCGGGAACGGACAGACGGCTCGCATGCTAGATCTATGGGCCTATCATCATCCTTTCTGTACATACATTCCTTGCGCCATCCGACAGGGTGTATGATACATGTAGTAATACGCATCGTGAGATGTGGTTTCCTCTCATCTCCTTTGTGTGATGTACAACTGGATGATCGGGCTTCATTGATCTGGTATGGTGTCCTCTTTCCTCCTCGCTTCCATCTGCTTGTCTCCCCTTTGTTCACCCTTTCTCTGTAATTCTGATTTGCTTGCGTTCCATCTCCGCCCTAACGAGTCATCGTATCCTTCCATTGACCAGCTCCACTAACACATACTTACAGCCCAGCATCCCACCGCCCCTCCAGATCCCCCCATCGCGCGCCCGCCGCCAATTCGCCCTCCGCCTCGCCCAACGCAAAGCGCAACTCGAATCAACGCGCGAAGCAGAGGAAGACCCAGACGACCCTTCCGCCCCGAAAACTCAAGAACAAGAAGAACGCGAAGGACACCAGCGCTTCGCACGTATGTTCGAAGGCATCGAAGATTCTTCCGACGACGACAGTCTGCACAGTATTGAGGGTATGGGAGAGGACGAGGAGAGCATACTAGGCCGCATCGAAGTTGAGGGCCAGGAAGTGGGTAGGCGGAGTCCGATCAAAGTGGCTAGTCCCGAGAAAGTGAGTAGTCCGGAGTTGGAGCGGGGCCCGAGTGGTGGGGAGGGTAAGGAGGAGGAGAAGAGGGTTGTGGTTTAGTATGTTGTTGATGTGCTTATGAATGTGGTTGGTGGGTAAGGCGCGGGCTTTCATCAGCGGTATCGTTGATGTGTTGTTCTACGTCACTGTTGATGGGCATTGCGAGAATTCATGTAGGTTTACGCGATGGATTGGCATGATATATGTAGTAATGCATGGTTATGAGATACCCCCTTCGATCTATCTCTTGGGATATTGTACTTTACTTTAAGCTGAAGCAACCAATATAGCCGCAACATGATAATGTTGTTAGAAAAGTTTGCACTTTGATCTCGCGTTGTGTCAAAGACGAGACAGGTACGATATTGGCGAACAGTCCCTACCCAGATAGACGCACACGTCATGTGACTTGGCGACACGCTAAGTAGATCCTTAGCGCGTCCGTCATCCACCCTTCCCTACCATCAACACTCCACCTTAACATCCAAACCCACAACCACACCACCCAGCATGTCCACGCAACCCGCTCCACCCCGCCCTTCAAACGACCACCGCCGCACCTCTGGCGCACCCAAACGGCAATCCATCCTCCCAAAACCCTCCTCCATCTTCCTCGACACCACCGTCCTCATCGCCCAACACGCGCAAATCACCGGCACGCACCCCGTTACAATCGGCCCCAATACCGTTCTCCACCCACATAGCAAACTCAGCAGCGCAGTTGCACCCGTTGTCCTCGGCGAGGGCTGTGTGGTTTTCGAACGCGCGAAAGTAGGTGTCGGTATGGGTGCTGAGGGCGATGCGGAGGGGAAGAGGGGCAGTATGGCACCTCCTGCAAGGGGGAGTGGGAGTGTGAGGGAATCTATGCGCAGCGAGGGAACGGTGTTGGGTAGGAATGTGGTTGTTGATTCTGGGGCTGTGGTTGAGGCGGCGGAGGTGGGTGAGGGGAGTGTGGTTGAGGTTGGGGCTGTGCTGGGGAGGGGCAGTATTATTGGGAGGGTATGTATACTTTCCATGGTCTGGTCGCATTTGGGAAGATGGGCTAACATGTTTGTAGTACTGCACTATATCGGCTTCTTCGGTTATACCACCTTATACCCGCTTGCCAGATTATACGGTCGTGTATAGTGGGAATCAACAGAGGGTGGATCGGACGCTGCAGCTAAGACCGGAGCTTCTGGAGCAGAAGATGGCGGTGCATGCGAAACAGCTGGATATGTTTAAGAAGCTTATTCCCAATAATATTGCGAAGTGGTCTTGAGGGGAGGATGTACTCGGATCTTCGCGCTATCCTTCGGACTCCAGACGAGACGAGCTTCGACACAACGCCTCGACGACGTTCTTACACAATCCTCGGTCTATAGCAGCGACATCGGGGGTGAAGCATTCTTGGGCAGTGAAAGTAAGGGAATCCTACTGGACTCGGCGCTGGTTGCCTTGTGAAAGCTATGGATAGTCATAGCAGAAGCAATGGCAGCAGTCTTTCACCGACTAGTGGGCCCTCTGGGACTATACAATCTCCTCTCTGATTGTATATGTACGAGGCACCTCCACCGTTCACGACAAGAACCACCACACCATTTAGCTCTACCGCCATTCGCATTCAACCAGCACCGGCACCGGCACCAGCATTGCGACCAACAATGCCTCTCTACGACTCCAAAGCAGCCTTCCTCGCTTCGGACATGAAGGCATGTCCCATGCCGCCCTCCGACCCCTCTTGTCCTATCTGTCGCGAGGACCTCCAGCCTCACGAGCCAGAAGCCTTATCCACGGTTCCCTCAGGCGAAGCCACACAGAACGTCACCCCCACCCCTGACAGCTCCGCCGATAACAATGATAACATTGTTACCGCCACTGCCCTCACCGTCGATGCCCACGCCCTACTCGCTGAACCACCTGTAGACCGCTCACCCGTCAGGGAAGACCACCCGCCAGTCAAGGAAGACCACTCCCCCGTCAAGGTCACCTGTTGCAACAACATCTTCGGCCGCGATTGTCTGGAATCCTGGCTCACCAGGGCAAACAGCTGTCCATTCTGCCGCGCCGAGTTCTTCCCATCGCGGACTGTACCAACCGGAAGATGGTTCAACTGGTTTGCTCGGGGCATGGAGGCTCGAATCGACGTGGGGTTGGAGGCAGCGAGAGCTCGATCTGGAGAGGGCATGCAGGCGGCGCATGCTCGATACACAGAGATGATGGATCGCATTACACTCACACACGTAGGAAATCTGCGTGCACAGATGATGCTGGAGGAGACAGTGCTACAGCGTACGTTTGAGGCTCTGCAGCAGGCGAGCCCGGATGTGGAATTGGCGGACCAGGATGACGCTGAGGATGAGTCTGAGTTGTCCTTCGAGACCGAGTCGGAGGATGAGTCTGATTCAATGCCCGAGCTAGAGCCGTTGGATGAAATGGAAGGGTACCACTCGGAGTCTGGGTCTGTTCTGAGCGAAGATGAGGATGACGAGTCTGAGTTTGAGGATGGAGATGAGGATAGCGGTGATGAGGACGGTGGGGGCGATGGACCCCCGGAGGGACCTGGATCTGGAGGCGCGGTTTGTGTTGAGTGCGCTCATACAGGTGCTTCAGTGCGAGCCTAGAGTGGCGTCGCTGGAATAACGAGTGTAATGGAAGGTTTCGATAGGCTGGAAAAGCTGATATATACATTTTTCCTGGTTGTGTTTCTTATAGTCATCCATAAATAACCATGTCGAAGTAGCACTTGCTTCAACTATTACAAGCCCAGCATCTATTACACTCATACCCTGACTTTGCACATCTACCTCTACCAACGTACGTATCCGGCTATGACCAACTGGGATAGCTTGAAACATCGTGGTATCCAACGATCCAACAGCTGGTCATAGCCGGATACGTACGTTGGTAGAGATAGACGTACCTATCCGACTACACCACATCTCCCACAATCACCGTCCTAACCCTACGCCATCCCAACTTATTGCCACCGAAACGCATCCCCCGGAATAAAGAAATTAGCATCCTCAAACGTGATAACACGATCCATATCCAGAAAATGACTATCCATGAACGCATCCGACAGATTAAGCAGAGACTGGTCTTGAGTGCTATGCTGGTTCCCCGTTGCGCTAGCATTACCGTACGGAGCGAGCGATGGGCCAGATACCGGGACTCCGTTTCCGGGCTGTTGATACTGCTGTAATGGGGTGTGGCTCGGGTAAGTAGCTGATACTTGCGGAGACGCGTATATCGGAGGTGGCGGCTGTCCGGATGGCGATATCGCGTGTGCGCTTGGGAGGCGCGGGTGGTGTTGCTCGTAGTTGCTGGGAGAGGGGATGGTTGTGTTCCGGGTTATGTCTGGAGGCGGGATGCGTCGCGGACTGAGGGTTGAGTGTGAACTTGTGAAGCTGTTGGTGCGTCCGTGGCTCCTCATTAAAGAACGTTCATGCGCAAGGCTTCTGGAACGCGCTTGTGGTGTTGCTGCGTAAGTTGGACTGGCGTAGTTTTGTGGGTCGAGGGTCAGGCCGTTGTGGTCGTAAAAGTCGAAGCGGAAATTTGCGTCGCTCTGACAGGCTTCGAGGAGTCGTATGAGGTGGTTTGCGTATATAGCTGCTTGGTTGTTTGGTTTCGGATCGTCTGTGCCTTTCCCTTTCCATCTTGCGGCCATTTCCTCGAGATTGTGGATTAGACGGTGGAATTCTGATCGTAGAGGTTTGCGGGTGGCTTGGTGTTCGAAGAGTAGTGCTTTGGCGGCGATGAAGGCGCAGAATGAGAATTGGACGTTGACAAAGGGTATGGGCGTATGGGTGAGAAATTTGTCGACGATGTTTGAAGTTTCTACTGCGGCAAGCTCGCACGTCTGGGCACTGCATTCTTTTGGTAATGCGACGAAGTCGTTCCATCCGCGGGGCGGATATCCGATTGGGTGATGTAGTAATATCATCGAGGTATTATGCGTAATGTGTGCTAATGTTAGATTAGGATCCATGTCGACCACAGTCCTGTCTGACGAGATGTTGGAATCCTTCCACCTGGGTGGCAAGAAGATCTTCCACTGCACAAGTCTCAAATCCAGCTCCTTGAAGCGTGTCAGCCAACTGACTGCATGCTCCTTGTCTTGCCAGTTGATCCTTTGTTGAAGGAAGAATGTCGTCACTTGACTCAAGCTCTCGGTTGCTTCGACACAGTATGCGAATGCGCCTAGCTTGGAAGCATCGATGTAGCCGTTGGCGGAATTGGGGCTGGCTCCTGGGGGCAAGTGGTCGACTCCTGGGTCTTCTTCGTTGTATTGTGCGGGCACATTTGCCAGTGAGCGCCCAATGCGAGCGGCAGCCTTGTTCCAGATGCCGAAGTAGGGTGTGGTTACCGGCTCTTCTCTGGTGAAGAAACCGCCGTCTGCCGGTAACCGACGGTGCACGTCATCTGCTGTAAGACTGGTGTTCCATCCTGTAGACACCGAACAATATCGATCGAGCAGAAATATGATCCAGAACAATCTTCGTCGCTCTTCCAACTCCGTCCAGTCGTTTGAGGGCTTCACCAACCGCACAGGCGTCATAAGTGATCCCGACTGCGATGTTGATGGCTCAGTAGTAAGTTGGAGATAGTCTATAGTCCTCGTGAGCGATCCGATCAGCGGCCACGCTCTTTGTGTTTGACCATCATTGAGAAGATCAAAGACTAGGAAGATGAGGGCCTGCAGGCTTTCGATGGTGACATTGCGCATCGCATGCGTTTCCACAATCATCCGGGAGACCCTCGTCTGCTGAAGGATCTGATCGTTATCCAGGTATAGTACGTTGGGTTCCATGTGTCGCAGAGCAACGGCGACCAGAGCATGAAGGACCAACACATGGCCTGGATCCTGGCAACCTTGGCGCACTCGCGTTTGGAGTCTAGCCTTATGGATATACGGAATCCAATGATGGAACGAGACACAGAAAAAGTCTGCGACCTTCTCGAGCAGTGGTTGAGATGGCAAATGGTGCGCGATATCAACATCTTCGAAGGGGAAAAGCCAACTCTCAGCAATTGGCATTTCGAATCTTCGTTTGAGAGGATTGGACACGCCGTTCTCTTCTTCGGAAGCTCTGGAGCCATCCTCTGCGGCTTGGTGGTTGTGGCTATAATCGGGAGTAGGCGCGACATACGGCGCGTGTTCCTCGACACGAGGTGCGCGTTCTTTTGCAGCAATGGGGCTTTCATGCGCGACGGCATGGCCATTCGCCGCGGTATCATCGTCTCTATACCGTGGCCGAATGTTTCCCGCATCATCTAGCAGTATCCTCTCAAGAAAGGCTGCGGAGCGTAAGATTGAGTTCATCGTAGAAGGAGTACCACATACCGACGCGGCGGGTCAACGCCTCAACAGCTCCGGGCTTAAGCCCAGGTTTGTTCTTTGGCTGATAAACACATTCAGAGGCTATGGCACATTAGCGACGCAAGATAGCGACGCGAGATAGCGCCAATTGACAGAAAAACTCACACAGCCTCAAGCAATGCGAGCACGAGGGTGTCTCGCGCGAGCATCGCAGCTTGCGTTGCTTGCAGCTAACGCACGCGGGCGTGTCACCGCCCACCGAGACGGGACCGTCGTCCTCGCCTGCCTGGCTACCATTGCCAACCGAGTAATTGGTCCACCCAGCCGACATCAGCACGACATCGCAAAAGCGCTGATCAAGAAGAAGCAAATGTGGAGGATGCAGCGAGCGGCGGGCATCGGGATAAATCGATAATTACTCCACACGCGGGCCCCGCGCGGTCTAACCCTCCTTTCGGCTGATCACCATCACTCCACCCCGGAAGCCACCCGATTTCATCAATACGGGACGGGAGCCTATGGCGATACGCGGTAGCGATATATCTTTCGGATGCGCTACCTATTGAGGCTTGGGTGTAAAGAGGCACGAACTGTCTTTTGCACCCATTGGTGCCGCCCAGGGCGGATCATACCGTAGAACCACCAGACTTACGAGACTATGGAACATGTAGAGCTGCGGTTGCATGGCCTCCATTTGAGAAAACTACCAGGGCTTGTATCACGCAACAGAGGCTTCTAATAACGCTCAGCCCATCATGCCTCCACTAAACGGTTTCTCAAACAACCCGTTCAAGACCCACGCCGACTTCAAAACCGCATCAATAGCACTCCTTCGCGCACTGAAGCCATATCAATCACCCCATGGCGCCCGAATCAAACTCCCATTATCAACCGGTACCCATTTCGACGATGTCGCGGCCCAGCTTGAAGGCTACGCCCGGCCGCTATGGGCAGTCGGTGCGCTGATGCACTCGAACATTATGTCTAAAGACGAGTACGAAGAGCTCATCAAACCCTACGCCATAGGCCTGGCCAATGGCACCAACCCACATCACGAAGAGTACTGGGGCCCCGTCGTATTACGCGATCAACGAATGGTGGAAATGGAGATCATCTCGTTCGCGCTGCTATCAGCTCCAGAGACCATGTTCCATTCGCAGTCTGAAGAAGCGAAGAGGAATATCACGGAGTGGCTGGGGACTATCAATGGCAAAGACTTCCCCACGACAAACTGGCTGTGGTTTCGGGTCATGACTAACTTGGCGTTGATCAAAGTATGCGGCGTACCCAAAGAGCATGTTCTCGATGCGATGAAAGCGGATTTGGATCTCATGGAGCAGTTCTACCGAGGAGATGGCTGGGCGGCAGATGGTATCTGGAGCGACGAAGGACGACAAGCAGACTACTATTCCGGCAGCTTTGCAATCCAATTCTCGCAGCTTATCTATGCGAAGATGGCACAGGATCTGGATCCAGAGCGGTGTGAGAGGTTTCGGGGTAGAGCGAAGGAATTTGCAGTGTCTTTCTGGCGGTACTTCGACACGAACGGTATGTCGAATACCTACCGCAGACACCCAACACTAACTAACGCACTCTAGGTGCCGCTATACCCTTCGGCCGCAGTCTAACATACCGTTTCGCATTCGCTGGATTCTGGTCCGCCGTCGCTTTCGCCGAGCTCGAGCTCCCGAAACCACTCTACGACTGGGGCGTGATCAAAGGCCTTTTGCTCCGGCACTTCCGCTGGTGGAGCAAGAAAGACGACATGTTCAACATCGACGGCACTCTGACAATCGGCTTTACCTACCCCAACATGTACATGAGCGAGGACTACAACAGCCCGCAATCTCCCTACTGGGCCATGAAATCTTTCCTAGCGCTAGGACTGCAGGAAGACCACCCGTTCTGGACTGCGGAGGAGAAGCCTTTACCCAGCGGGGAAGTGGCAGTAATGCCAGTTAAACCGGCTATGCATATCCTCTCCAACCGGCCAAACCATCATTTCCTCCTTTCCATGGGCCAATTTTGTCCTTGGCCGCTCAAAGCCACAGAAGCCAAGTATGGAAAATACGCTTACTCATCGCACTTTGGTTTCAGTGTGCCTACTGGCACCTTGATACAGCAAATCGCACCAGACAGTACGCTCGCAGTGAGTAAAGATGGCGGGAAGACATGGCGGGTACCATGGAAGGTCACAAACCACCGCTTTGCTACTGCGCGATTGATGCGCAACGACGAATTTATAGAAGACATACCGTGCCTGACGAGCACTTCGAAGCCCTGGGCCGACGCCGATATAACGGTACAAACACACATCGTAGCTCCTTGCTCGCGCTGGCCAGATTGGTATCTCCGCTGGCACCGCCTCACCAACAACGGGTCTAGTGTTATCAATATCCAGGCCGTTCAAGGTGGTTTTGCGATCCAAGGCCGCGGCGATAAGCACGGCGAAGTCTTACCAACACACGCACATAGCTCTGAGTTCTCCATCCAAGCAAGTCGTAGCAACGCATCTTTCCCGCAAGGCACGGTAACAACTCAGGACTCAACACTCATCTGCTCCAACGCCGGCGCCAGCGGCATCGCTGCCCTCGATTCACACAGCACCGACCTTTCAACGATGAAAACGTATGCGGAAGTCCTGAAACCGGATGCGAATACGAATTTGATGTGGCAGCGTACACTTATACCCGCTATTAGGAACGAGTTGAGCATCCCGCCAAATACAGGAGGACAATTAGCTTCTGAGTTTGGCAGCGCGGTGTTTGCTCTGGCTAGGACGAGTGATAGAGAGGAGCGGTACGTGGGCTTGGAGCATAGTGAGTTGTGGGGTGATGTACCAGTACTGGATACTGGGAGAGGAAAGCAGAGGGATGGGGAGTGGTATATTAAGCTTGAGTAGATATGCGACAGGCTAGCAAATGCATATGATTTTGTCTGTGATCAGTTAGCTGGGCAGGATATAGAGACGTTATGTGACTTACCATACAAACCCTAGTCACAGCCTTTGGCCGACAAAATATCAGTAATAGGAGAGTCGAAGGCTGAACGTAGGTCTGAGCAGCACAAGAGCATGTGCCAGACGCGAACAATTTTTGAAACATATTCTAGTATTCAATCTAGCAAAATAAAGACCCGCAAGCCAAGCTAATCGTGCAAATGTGATAATCGGTATATCTTCCTCCATTCCCCAATCCGATTCAAATAGGCGCCCAGACATTTCAAATGTTGTCCGTTGTAGCTAGAGAACACACAGATAGTACAAGCAGGTCATGATCTTGCCAATCCGCACTACGTATGTGCAGAAGGTGATGTTTTTGTAAATGACAAAAAGTCATAAAAAGACCACGTATACTGAGGTCCAAGACACCGGGTAAACGCCAACATGATTGATTAGCAAAAGATGGCTGCTGCCGCGAAGGATGAGTTTGTTGATTGGGTTTGGTGTTTCTACCTCTTCCTCACGCAGAAGAAGAGACCAGTGCGACCAAGGAACCACAAGCATCCGGCGAAACGGACAATAGCGAGTGCAGCGGTAGCCCAAAGAAGGGCCTGGAAGAAATGCGCGGTTCTGCCAGAGGCGCTTGACTGTTATTGAATTAGTAAGATGGTCGAGATGAAGACTCATGTGAAACTTACAGAGAAACCGAAGCGGTCAAAGTTGTCCTGGGTGATGACAACCGCAAGTGTGGCGTTTGAACCAATCCAGGCTGTGCACAAATGGGTACGGAAAGACTTGTAAGAGTCCTCCAGAGTCTTCTCGTCGCTCTCGACAGGTGGTACGTAAGGAGCGAGAGCACGCTTGACGGTGGCCTCGAACTGGCTGTCAATATCGGCTTGTGGCAGATCCGGCTCCTCGATAACGTTGTGCTTGCCGTCAGCTCCCTTCTCCGTCTTCGCTGAAGGAAGCGCATCTGCCTTGTCGGAACCCTTGGTACCCCAAGAGACATCGTGCCAGTTGGAGAAGGCGTAGACGTTGAGAATGTTGACGTAGGAAGACATAATGAGCAGATACTGAGGGAACGAGGTGAACATGTGCCACGGGTCCATGTAGAGGAACGAGGCGACGTAGTAGAGACCGAAGGTAGCCGCAAGAGCGATAATGATAATACCGACACCGCTCGACGAGAAGAAAGACGAGGCGAATGCTTCTGGCGACGAAGTGTCGAGTTTCTGCGAGGACGGGTTCGTGAAAGCCTGAACAACGAGGTAGATGGACAGGATAACAATGTAGAACTGGATGAGACCGAAGACGCAGAATGAGACCAGGTAAGACCACTTGGAACCCTTTGGACGATTACCAAAGGCCAAAATGAACTGTAGGACCAGGAATGCAAGGTAGAGATAGGTGACGATGACGTTGAAGATGGGCGTGACAGTGTTTCCGAAGGGCCAAGCGTCTCGCGTATCGGTTTTGGTACCGACAAGACTCATGATAACGACGGTGGTAAGCCAGAAGGAAGCCAGAGAGAACCAGGCCATGATGGTCTGGAAGACGTTGTACAACATTTGAATGTGCAGGAAGAACATGCGGACGAGGTTGTGGCCACTCTTGTACATGCGGCCGAAATGGAGCAGGGAGTAAATACCGGCAGCGAAGGAACCGTTCAACCAACGACGACGCTGACCGATGAACTCGGCAGCACCCTCAGGCACATCGGTTTCACCCTTGGAGGCCTTGATGTAGGTGAGATGCCACTTGGATCCAGCCTTGGCGACGAGCTCGAAACACAGAATACGATCTTCGGCCAAGAACATGTTCTTCTTGAAAATGTTCATGCCCTCGATACCCTTCTTTCCGAGAATCTTGGCGAGTGTGTGGTCACCGTGGAAGTACTGCTCGAGCGGTCGGCCCATGATAGCACGGTATCGGTAGGCCGAGAAAGCACCAGGCAACACAGAGACGTATCCGAAGGAGGATTCCAGCGGCTTGTCGAGAATGTTACTGATCTTGTACTCGAAGTTCTGGGCGGCTACAAGGGGGTTGAGGAGGTTCTTCCAGCCCTTGCCTGTCATATTTGTTAGCATGACATCCCCGCAGAAGTTTGATAGAGGAGGAAAACTTACCCAACATAGCGTGAATCTCACCGCAAGCACCACCGAGATCCTTGTCGTTGTAGAAACCTTCCCAGAGGGCGAGGAGGGACTTGGGGCCGGGCTTTGTACCAGCATCGAGCAGAATGCAGACTTCGGGGTTCAGAATGCGACCGATAGCAGTGAAGAGCCATCTGTGGGAGTTGATCTTCTTGCTGTTCTTCTGCTTCAAGCAGAACATCATCTGGACGGGGGGAAGTGTGCTGGCGCTGTCATCGTGCGGGCGAATGAGCTGCTGGTTGGGCGTGACGGAAAGTTGCGTAGTGTATTCGAACTGACTTGTTAGCGGATTGCCAATAGAACCTGAATTGAATAAAACTTACAATATGAGCGACGGTCTCGTTTCCGTCAATGTCCTTCTTCATGACACCGTCCTGGTAGATACCAACGGTTGCGAGCAGGTCGAGAGTACCCTTGTCGCAAGGGTCAATACCGTCGAAAACCAAGCACACGACAATCTTCTGCCAGGCCGGACCGCCCTTGTTCCAGAACTCGGACTTCTTCAGGTTGACAATGTCGCGGATGTTCTGCATGACACCGTGCAGAGTACGGGCAGTAAGAACCTTGTCTTCGTTGTAGTAGGTAATGGCAATAAGCAGCTCGGTGTGGCGGTTGTACATGGCCGGACGCAGATTGTAACCGTTCTTGAGGGTGAAGTCGTTGGGGTCGCATGTCGCAGCAGTGTCTAGCGGCTGTCAGACCTGAAGGGGAAATACAGAACGTGGGACTTACAGCGCATGTGGGTGAACTCCTCGCTACCGCTCTCGAGGTCATTGCGGTACTTGGCCTGGATGGCGTTCTGGATGGCAGAGGGGACGGGGTAGTCGGCACTCAGAACGGAACCCTGGACGAGCTTGACCTTACGGGTCATACCACGCTTGAGGCCACCGGCGGCGCCTCCGCCGGGCTGCTGTCGCTGCCTCCATGCTTCGGTCGAGCTGGTCTCGCTTCTCTGGTATGGTGATGGGGCCCGCTGGGGAGCACCGAAGTCGCCCTGCGCGTCGTAGCCACCGGACGCCGAGTAGGAAGTGCCAGCGTGGGCCTCGCCAGGGTATTGTGTTGGCCTGTCGGTCGCGTAGGACTCGGTCAAGCTGTAGGTGGAGTGCGGGCGGACCTCAGGGTTGCCGTAGAAAGGGTCCGGGTGGGCGCCGGTAGGGTTCTCGTGCAGCAGCGAGCGGCCTACTTCCTCCTCATCGTGGGTGCGGTCGTACTGCGGACGCTGTCAGTATGTCGTGCCTTCCGCCATATCATCAGGGGCGCCTACGCCGGTGTTCGGGTCTCCAAGGTTATAACCTTGGTTATTGTTGTACGCCATGACGTGCTGCAGTCCACGGGCCGGCGCTGCAGATGGCGGAGTTGAAGGGAAAAAGGAATAGGCGGTAGGGGTATAAACGGTTGAGATGTCAGAAAGGCGGCAGCGCACAACTCGGGGTGTCGCTTGATAAAGGTGGATGGAATGTCTGGGGCGCTTCAGGGCTGAGAAAGCTGAAGGGACGCGCGCTATACCCCTTGTGGTGGGATGGGGGAAGGTGCGCTAGGAAAACCGCCGTCTCTGAAACACGGCTTAGCCAGCTTCTATTCGTCGTCGCCGTGTAAGCTGCGCGTTTCGGATGCAGCTGGGCACTCCCTTAACAAGAATGCATTCGTGGAGACGCTTCAAGAACGGGCGATCGCTCCTACTTGAATTCGACGGCAGCCGCAAAACCTGCTGGCGGTGAAGCACACGACCGAAGCACATGAAGTCTCCGTCGTCTGTCAGTGTGGCGCTAGCCGGCCACGACCTGCTAAAATTAGACAGGCCCTGGCCGCTTGCTTGCTCAGCCTCACCAAAGTCTACCAACATCGCTATTGCCGGCATACTATGATACTATCATGTAGACGGCCTGACTCGCCCTGCGCAGACTACTCCTACGACGTGCATACAACGCCCGTTGCCGTCGAGTGGCTGAAATGCTCAAAGTCCCCTTCTGCACGGCTGCGCGTCGCTGTCTCAAGCTAGGGGTCGCACGGCCGACGTCAGCCAGCTTTCAAGGTTGCTCCGCAGGCGGATCCACTCAGAGAGATCTCCTAGTTCTCTGCAAAGGGTTGCATGCATTGCTACTGTAACCCAGCCTACCGACCTGTATACGAACCTGTAGTCGGAGCGATTGATTTCTAAATAGGGCCGTTCCCATGCCACCACTACAAACCTTGCCACGTCGTTTTTGCCTGCCGTTTTGCCAGCGTTATTGCAGTGCTCTGCGTTTGGCTGCCGGGTTCGCGTGATGGCGGTGCGGTGACAGGGTCCAGGCCTGTGGTGAGTCTCCTATCCGTCGCTGTGGGCCGCCGTTGGAAAGTTGTTCCTGGACCCAGGACCCTTCATCTCTGCTGGGTCTCACATCTCAACCGCCACATACTCGATCTCGCTGACAGCTTGGCATCGGCGTCGGTACCACATATCTTCTGAGACGACGTCGAAAGTCAGATCTTCCACCACGATCCTTGGTCGTATACAAGCCTGTGTTATTGACTTTCATATGTGCACATTAAGATGCATAGAAGAGGCTGGCCAATGCAGCGCAACAGCATGTGCGTTTCCCCGAGTCATCACGTGCTACGGCCGTCTTTTACATCCATGATACCACCAGGGCTGCGAACTCAGGTAGCGACATATACACATCTCCCTCAAATCGCTTGTTTTCGCAGCGAAGATGGCGAACGCTCCTGCCATTCTGCACCTTGTCGCGCGGGGAGGACCAGGCCGCACCTTCCGTCACCAGCGCCTCAACAAAACGAAAACTTGTATTCTACATGTGCATCCACACCACT